TCTTCGGCAACCGAAGCAGGAGCAGCATCAGCAACTGGGGTGGCCTCGGGGGCAGCAGTCTTGGTAGCCTCCGCAGCCTTGGCCTCTGCAAGCTTCCTCTCCCACTTGGCGGGCGTAACGAATTGAGGGTCGTGCCAGGGGCCGGCGTCGGAGTTCTCGCAGCCACCCTCGCACTGGCAGGAACCGCCAAACTCCTTGGGCAGATTCTCAGCCGGGACCTGCTTGAGGACCTCGCTCTTGTATCCAGAACCCAGAATATGGATCTTGGAAACAGTGACGGGATCCAGCCAGCCCTTGATGATGCTCCAGACGGTCGAGAATCCCCAGGGGGCGTTGATCAGGTAGAGCTTGCCCAGTCGCTCGGGGTAGTAGTTTTGGGAGATGACGGTGACCTGGCTGACGTAGTTGTAGACCGAGGGGACCTTGGCCAATGTGACGCCCTTGAGATCCATGATGCTGCAGCTGGTTTCCAGCAAGGTGCCGGCCTTGCGAGAGCAGGCAGGTAGGCGAGGGTCGGAGACACGCTCATACTCGACGGCCAGGTTAGTGAGCATGCGTTCAGCGGTGGTGATCTTGTACATGGCGTTCAGATCAATTCCACCGAGAGTCTCAATATAAAGAGGGCGGCCATCCTAGTGGGAATGTGTCAGTGCATGTCTTCGATGTACAAGAATTTTTTTATTCCTACCTTGTCGGTCTTGTGGTAAAACTGCTTGTAGTACTTGGCCACCTCTGGCTTCTCAGGGTAGTCCCAGGTGGGAAGAGTCTCATCAAGCTTGCTCTCCTTTCGCCACTTCTCACAGTCAACGAACCTTGCAAAATGTTAGCTCTGCTTCCTCTATCCTGATCTCATGATAAATGAGACATTGGGCACGCTTACATCTGCTTGGCCAAGCTGACATCAAACTTGCGTGCACGGAGGAATCGCAGCTATGTCCAAACCAACGTTAGCACGTGCCCTTCTCTTTGTTGACATTTCCAACGGCATACCAATGTTAGGGTATCCAGACGCTCAGTGTAGCCCTCAGCCTCTAGCATCATCCGTAGCTGATGGACCTGAGCAATCTGCTGATCGGTCAAGTGTCCGGCATGGCCAGATTGCTTCTCAGCAGCTATGTGGGGGAAATCATAGTCGTCGTACTTGGGGTTCAGATCCATGGTGGGCGGCAGGGGGTGGGGAGTGGCAAGAGCGGGATAGGATGGGATCTCTTTCAAATAGGATAAGTATGTCTCTAAGAAGGAGCACGAGGGAAAAAAACAAAGAGCGGACTGGAGCAGATTATAGGGGGTGGGCTGCGCCGTTGGATGGCTGAGCTAAGTGGCTGGTGACAGCTCCAGATGGATGCGGGCCAAATTGCTAGAATTGGGCTAGAATCCCAATTAGTGGGCAAGGAGGGCTTTTTTGATATTGCGAACCCTTCCGGCAAGAAGGAAGATCCGTCCCCGGCCGACGAAGAATGGAGATGACATAAGAACGACACCTCCATGTTGAGGCAGGTGGAGATGAGCAATCCCCCTATTCCCTTCCCCTGACTAAGATTGATTGCGTTAACGTGTCCACTGTCCACCGGAATCAATTCATTCTGGGTCGATTTCTCTATAAGCTCCATAGCGATAATCTAGATGATCCAGTTTGCAGCTTGAATGAGTGAGTTGATCCGAAAGAAGACGTTTCTCAGCCTGGTCCAATTTTTCTGGAATATCTCAGCCTCGGCCATCTTACCCCTTCCGTTCATCGCTAAGTAGTCGCAGATTTAGTCTTGGCCAAACAGCTCCTTCCCCTTGATCTCTTCCTTCTATCAGAAGCGCAATAACCCTACATACAGTTGGTGCAATTTCTTGGCTCTTTATTTTATTGACCGGGTAACGGTGCTAGTGGACCATCGCAATCACTTCCAGATAAGGACCTCTCTCTTTTTTTTTTTAAGTTTTCAATTTTTTCACTTGGCATTAAACCATTCTCTTTTGCTTGTAAAACGTCGTGACTATAATATTATTTTTAGAATCCACATATTGACATCCAATCGTAAAGTGTCTCTTGGGTGGGAAAATGGGGTATTGGGGACAGCCTGGCACACAAAACTAACTTCTCTTTGGACGTCACACATTTTCGATGCATAACTCAAGCAAGGAGGCAGCTTCTACATGCTTTCCCAGGAGACTTTATTTGGGTGGAATAACACTATATTTTCAACAATCCAGTTTCTTCTTCCTTTCTTTGTTATTAACAAGGATAGAAGCAAACTATAAGATCATGCCTTGCAATAGACTCTGCGAATAGGTTCGGTGTCCACGTGCCATATGATGTAGGATATAGGATCTAGAACTGGTATGTCTTCTGAATTCTGCTTCCAAGATACAGAAAGAGGTCGCTTCAGTTGACCGCTGCTATTCTTCATCCTCTGAATCAGTTGCCCATTCCTCCCAGTTGAACGTTTGGAGGGGCAGTCTACGCATGCGATACCTATGCCACGCTCTGTTGATCCTCAACGCCAATTCTGACCTTTCGGCTGTCTGGCGACGTGTTTCTGTCGTGTTCATCTCTGGACTGATGGTTCCTGCTTCTTTGAAACGCTGGATCCGATATAGAATCTCCTGGCAGTCTTTCCAGATACGCTTTCGATTTTGCAAGCCTCGAAGACGCGCCCAATTTTTCGTCAAATCGCAATACAGCTTATACCAGTCTGTCTTTTCTCTGGACAATAAATATATTGGAGTTGGTGAGGGGAGCTCACCCTCCTTGATTGAGCAAGGTTTCGGTGTGCTGTCCCCTGGCCCAATAACAGCAATGTTCTCTTCAAAGTTCAACCTTTTTTCTTGCCACTCTAGCCCGTCTTCGGTGAATGGTGCCGGCTTCTCTGAGGCCCAGAAGGAGTATTTCAAATCTGACCAAATCTCCCACAGCCAGGGGCATTCTCTCCGAAGAAGATAGCGAAAGAAGGATTGAGGTAGTTGTCGGAAAGTATGAGACGCAAGTCGTAGCGTGGCAATATCTTGAGGGGGAAGGTGTGAGAGAACCATAAATCGTAGCTCATATGGAAGGACAGCAAATATATCGCTTGTTTGGTTTGAATTGTTTGAATTGTTTGAATTGTTTGAATTGATGTCAATGGCGTCTTCATCCAAACTAGATATGGATGCGCCGCGAGATGCTGCACTCTCAAATATTGAGGGAAGCGCCGGGACAAAGACAGGGTTAGCAACCAACGCTTCATCTCCTCGGCAGTGATTCCACTGCTGCGGAATACTGGGGTCATGGTCCCAAGCCGTACCGCGGCGGACGGCCTCATCTCGAGGGAACGAGGCAAAGGTTTCGAAGTCGGCCTCGAGACAGTACCAACGATATAGCGCCTCCATGTCTACGTGGCCAAAGCGCAGTAGAGAGGCACGTTTATAAACCTCCAAGCAGGTTGGGTGGAATGGCATGCCTGTCAGATGAGCGTAATCAGGGCTAGTGAAAAAGTTGGCGGCAAGGCATGAACCCAGCCCATGGCGCTCAGGGAAGAAGAGCCCAACTCTGCTGCGAACAGGCATATTGTCGGAAAGGCCAGTGAGCATAAAATCCGAGCTGGACTCGAAGTCTGCGTCGTCAAGCTCGGGGACGGTGAATTGTGGCTTTGGTATCAGACATTGACACGTGCAGCACCCGAGCATCTCCTCAGCGGATATAAAATTTCCATTATATGCACCGTCACATGGACAGTCCGGGCCTGCTAAATGCTCCATCGTCCACATGGCGATGGAGTCGTTGCCCAAGGTCGGGATCGGCTCAATGTTGTCGGGTGTTGCAGCGCCCGGACTGTCATCGGGGCTGTCCCAGGTGATGCAGATTGTTCTTTGGGACGCGTAGTTTCGGAAGCTTCTATCGATGACGCTACATCCTCCTCGTTGGCAGCCTGTGGAGTTGTTCCATGAGTGTCGAGAGAAGTCGTCGCATGGCCCCGTGCCGGTACCGGCGAGAGCTTCCTCTCTCGTCCGGTGACGGCCGATGGTGAATCCCACGCCGCAGATCTGGCAGCATGTCAGCGGCAGCCTGTCCATCCTGGCGCTCGCAGCTTGGGCCAAGTGCGTGACGCGCTGGCTCGTTGGATGTGATCGGGATAGGATAAATTGCACGATATGAGAATATGGGCCTTTTGCAGCTAGTCAATTTGGAAATGTGGGCCTTTAACCTTGATATTGTAGTCTGGGTTGTTTCGTTGTTTTAGCCACATATTGTGCATATTCAAACGTGTCGACGACATATGAACCTTTGAAAACATACCTATAAACCAGCCACATACGAAGAGTTGACTCTCTACTTTAAGCTGAATAGCAAGAAAAAAATTCACGTAAAATGACTCCGTATTCTTTCATAAATAAGATTATTTAATAATTCGTCTTGAGTGTTATATTAGTAACCTTTGGTATAGGGTAGCCATCAGCACTTGAGAAAGAAATGAGGGTTCTTTTTACTTGTTGCCAACGATCTAAGAGCTAAACTTGAGGTTTCGTTGTTTAAACCGTTCTTTCCATTTTGTTCTTTGTCTAATGCATCGGCGACGGAAAAGATATTAAAGACATAGGGAGTGATCGCTTATTGAAGGTTCCGGGATGATTCTCGCCCCTTTTCTCAACTATCTCATCCCAGATGTGTGATAAATCGGTTTAGTACACCCATTTGGCTGACCAAGCCATTTGTCCGTTGCATTTAGCACACGAATAGATACTGGAATATTTATCTATGAAGCTAAACAACAGTTATAAACTGTTATTTGCAACATATGCTATGAAGAACGGCCCTAAGAATATCCATACCTGAGTCATTGAAAAACCCCCTTGTATATCCCCTTTCACTGAGGACCAGCAAATCCCGAACACTAAGCCAGCCAGCACGAAAACCAGGGCAACAAAATAAACACTACTGGTATGCCACCCTCTCTTGAAGTGCAGACCCCAACCTAGAACCTCTGCATCTGGCGAAGCAATGAGGCGTCCACAAGTCCGCTTTGGCAGCTGCGTCAGTATGCTCTTTTGTTTTGAGTCAATGCAATTGGGAGACTTGAGGAAATGTGTAAGACGACTCGAAGCAATGACGGGCGTGGTTTCAGGCCGTTGATGTGGTGCTGGACCACACCGGTATTCATTATCGATCCTGTCACACGGCGGGAGACATATGCAGCTGGCAGAGCAAGAAAGATGATGAGGATGAATGTCTGTAAAGCCACTCATGTCGACTCTGAACTATATTATAAAAATGAGACGCAATAGGTCAGTATATAGGCTTAGTGATAATTCTATGGCTAGGAGAAAAGTGAAATCTTACCCTCGTCAAAGAAACGAGTTCCACTGTACGGAATGTAAACCATGGTTTTTTGTTCCACACCTCGAAATAGGCAGAGTGTAAGAATTGAAACAGTTGCCGATCTGTTTTGATTGTATTTAGCTCATTTTGAATCAAGATCGTCTCATTAAGGCTCTTTTCAACGCAGAGTAACAGATGGTCTGCGGGGACGGAACCTAACGTCGCTGATGGATTTGTTGTTGTACTCTGCGTGTTGCTAGATGGTGCTGGATTCTTGGTAGGTAGAATGGGTCCAGATATTGAGATGATTTTCCGAACTGCTCCAGAGAGTGAGCGGCCAAGTGATAAGATGGCCTGGGTAGTTTGGTTGATAGCCTGTCTCGTACTAATTCTACTTTTCTTCTGAAATTTTTGCGCTCCTGAGTCGGTCCAGGGGATGTCATTGTCAAAAACATCATCGAAAAACTCAACCCCACAGGTCTGGCAGACAATAAGTGTTATTGTGATTACGAAGATGAAGGCGCTCTTGCATCAAAGAACTTACACATTTCCACCTCATTCGCACCATGCCATCTGGAACTGGGGACTCTTTGAAAGCGCTTGGAAGGCGCTGGAGGATATTCTCAACAAAAAGGGGCAGCGTAGAGTAGAATAAGGAAGCTAGTAAGACTATTGAGTAAATGCATGTGTGGGGATATAGAGCAGAGATAAAAGGAATAGAAACGTACGGCTTGATGCATTTTGCGGAGAATCAGACTTGACCTGATCAGCAATCGGTCGCTGTTCATGTATATGTCGAGTCGTAGTGGGGGGCATATCAGATGTTAGCGATGTTGAAAGTATGTGACTGCTGCGTTTGGAACCAACAACACTGTTACGGCGAGCCGAAGCGTGTAATTGGTTGATTTTGCTGTCGTGCTTCTCAAACCGCCTAGCCAACCTTTCCTTTTCCTGACTATGACTTCGACGTTCACGACGGTGCTCTTGGCGAAATCTCTCCCGATCCTCCCAGTGATCCCGGCTTGTGCTAAAGCTAGAAACTCTGCTTTGACGTGATGTCGATGAGGCTTCGCTGTGAGGTGGTGTAGGAAGTGATGTTCTGTATTTGGCAACAAGACCATCATATTGGTTTTGGTGATCTCCATCATCAGCGAGAGGGAGTGCATCATGTCCCCGGGACTTTTTCTTGATGTTAGCGCCAGAAGCTCCCCTTCGGCTCAGTGTCAATGATCTGGTACTGTCTGTTGGTGTCGGGAGTATTCGCATGTCGAATCTAGAAACCAGACCATCATACTTATCTTGGAGGTCTGTGAATTCCTCTACCAAGCTCTCGTTTACCGCAAGAAGAGCGTTGTTATACTCCTTCGTTCGACGAACAACTTCTTTGTGATGATCTCTCTCGCTCCGTACTTCGACGAGCTCAGACTTTTGGTCTGCGATGGTCCTATTGGCGTCGAACAGCATTTGTCGAAGTTGTTGATTGATGCTATCAACGCGAACTTTCTCTCTGCACACCTGTCTAAATAGCGAGGACGAGCTGTCATCCGCCGGTTCGTTGTTCATTCGGCGCTGAATAAGAATATCGACGAGGTTCTTGAATTTTTTGCTTAATGCAGTGGCTTTAATTCGTGATGTAGCATCTAAATCAAGCATTTCATGCTCAATGATATCCAGTATTTGCTTCAGATATGCCGTGGTATTACCATTTTCCTTTAGCCGGCGGATCCATAGCCTGACTGTAGGTTTCAAAATAGCTCGATCACGTTCATTCTCTCCTTTTTCGATACTGAAAAAGGGCTCTGTCGACACTATGTTGGAGTCCCTTGGTAATCTTTCCTGGGAGAATTCGGCCTCGATCACGTTAGCCTCTCGAAGGTACCAGGAAACATATTCGAGAAACACACATCCCAGACTCCAGATGTCTGCAGCAGGTGTTATCAACCGATCTGGTAGGTCAAATTCAGGCGGTCGGTATGTTTCTGTTCTTGCCAAGGTTCTTGGATCTTCCCCACGCTGTGAGACTTTCGAGTGAAGTTTTCCGAGGCCGAAATCTGCAAGAACCAGGTCGCTCTTGCCACCCGGGCTCTGGAAGAAGAGGATATTCTCTGGCTTGAGGTCTCCGTGCCTGCCATACATATGTCTGAAATCGGATAGGTCATGTTCCGGGCGGTTCTCCTGCCAACCAAACCACGGTCTATCATTATGAATGAGTTTCAAAGCTTCTATGAGCCCACTCATCTGCTCTGCCATCCAGACTTCATGATTGGTATCCAATCTAGATGCCTCGTTCGATTTCCAGAATTGGTTCAAGTCCCCATCCGCCCAGTCGAAAAGAAAATAATATCTTGAGTGGCCTCCTTTTATATGTCGTTCAAAGGATGCAAGAAGCCTATTCAAATGTTTCTTCTCTCCGCCTAGGTGGGACAAATATAACGAAAATTCAAGTTCAGCTCTGAATGCCTCTCGTTGACCAGATTCGGAGGTCAACTCTTTGAGGGCGAAGCAACGATCATGTCGCTGTATTTGAAGATTCGCACGTTAGTACTAGTGCTTATTGTAAGTTGGTAAAAAGACCGCAGTCACTCACATCGTCCAGTTCGTCGTTGTACTGCGAATTGGGGATTTGAACCTTGTAAACTTTGCTGAATCCTCCTTTTTGGGCTACACGTTCTTCGGTATCATTCGAGAAAACTGTGCAAACTTTCATCGGCAGGCAATGTCCATGCTGTAAAATGTAGTGGGAATGCATATTTCTCCGAATCTTGATATATGGTGCTGAAAAAATGCAACGCCAACCTATGAATATTTCGAGATCTTCGGGCATGTAATGCTCTAGCACGTTATGTCGGCCATGAATGGAACATGAAGTTGGCCAACCTGTCAGTAAAACGCAATTGTCGCACACTCCATCCTCGATGAACTTGATGATATCTTCAGACCTGTCCATCAATAATAAAATGGCAAATATCCTTAATCGTGGCGCGCCTCTCTCGTCCCCAAAGCAAATATCTTGCGCCACAGCATGCTTGTCCTGAACCTCGCCATAGCACTTTAAATTGTGGATAATCAGGTAAACCTTTTCGGGTGTCAAGATCTCTTCGAATCTGTCTCGGGGAATGAAACTCCCTGGAGAGTTTAAAGTGCATTTGATCCGGGCCTCTTTCAGAGCTGTTTGGACATCATGGATCAGGCTGTTAATCTCATATTCTATACTCGGTGACGGAGTGCTAATGGCCCGCTTCTTCGGGGGGAAGTCGCAATAGAAGAGCTTCTCGCCATTATCCTTGATTATGTCTACATTATTGGAAATATCAAAACCAATATCCCCTTGTGACGAAAACTCGTTGCCATTTTGGGGCGGTGCCTGGGTAAGGGAAGCACCCTTGGTGTTGATCGGGACTGGTTTTTTTCGCAGAGCTGGAGCTTCAGCAGTGGCAGCACGCTCGATTCTGCTGACCTCCGAATCGAGACTTGGGACTGATGTTCTAAAGAGCTCTAAGGTCAAGAGTGACAGCTGCTGAACATCATACATTGTTGGCAGAAAGAATCAAACACAAAGGCTGCGTTTTATGGAAAGATGGAGGGAAAGTAGGGTTACTAGGAGGAATTGAAAGAAGATAAAAATGATTTCAGAGACACGTCGGCATGATATATTTATTCTTGCAGCTTCTTCCTTGGAAGGGGCATTCGCGTATTGTAGCTATGCTGTCTAACATAGTAAGGGATTACTTAGCTTTTTCTGTAATGTCCGGAAGTGTACAGGTATATGTGCTACATGGAATACCTGACAAATACTTCTTTTCAGCTGAGTAAGAATCATGCATGGATGCAGCCTACTTGAGGAGAATTCAGCCCTGGTTTGTGCCTTGGCAAAAAAGGTGCTGAAGTGAGGAGTCAACTTGCAAAGCCACTGTGGCAGTGTTGAAAGATCTACATGAAACTGTAATTCTAACTCATCTCTGAAAGGAAAAATGCATATCTGTATAACTATCACGTTTTCCCCCCCGAAGATATTTGTTTGGGAAAGCAAGGGTAATTTGGGGAGATTAGGATTTAGATCTACTATTTGGGACTGAAATATAACACTCGAAACTATCTGTCCCTCCCTCCCCCTCAATTGGTTGAGAATTTAGAGGCTAACCAGGAGATCATATAATCATTCTATCTAGGTATATGAATTCCGAAATCATCGACGGCCTTTGGAAGCCTATGCACACAACCCAAAGCATCCAAAGATGCGCAGCACTGTCACTCGAGAAAATCCCGGATATGCCGTATATACTCTTCCCGCTGATCAACATGTGAAAAATGTGCCGCACCGTCCAGTTTGACCCATTTCGAATTCTTGATATTATCAGCGAAAGGCTGCATTGTCACATCCTGTGCCTCATCATTTACGGCGTTTATCAATAATGTTGGCACTTTAATCTTGTGCAGCTCCGGTATTATTGTCCAATTTCGAAGCGATCCAGTAATCGAAAGCTCGCTAGGCCCGTACCTAGAAAATACTTGAGTCAATTCTCTTGCGAAATCGGGGCGCAACTTACATTGTCCCATAGGTTGTGCCATCTGCTTCAAACCAGTTCAGTGCAGCCTCAACCTCTGGAGCTGGATATGGTCGCGCAAGGCTTAGGTGGCGCTTGTAAAAGACTTCAATAGCGGCGGCGTATTCAGGAGTTTCAAAACTCTGGCTCTTCTCCGCTTCGTCAAGCACAACCTGAACGTCTTCGGGGAGTTGCTTTCGTAATGATGTGATACCAATACGCCAGGTATCCATGCTTGCGAGACTGTTCGAAATGATCAGACGTCGAAGATTGGAACTCGACTGTGTTACTGCCCATTCCGCTGCGAGCATGCCGCCCCAAGAGTGTCCATAGACATCAATCGGCCGTGAATCTAGACCAAGATGTTTGAGAAGGTTGTTTAGCTCATTCTTGAAAAGCTCCACAGACCAGAAGTTCTCATCACCATTTCTTTCAGGTAGATGGGTTGACTTTCCATTGCCAATCTGGTCGTAAAAGACAAGTGGTACTGATAGATCCGTCAGAGGCAGGAGGTAGTCATGACAGGCTCCAGGCCCCCCATGAAGTACAATTAATGGGATAGATTTGGAATGCAAATCGCCGATGATCTTGTACCAGGTACGAGCAGGCTCGGCTAGGCCAGGAACATGAAAAGGAGCGACTCCCTCAGCCATTGTGTGTGTGATAATGTGAGGTTTTTTTTGTTCAAAGAATATGAAAGAGGGGAGGGGCGGGGTAAATGAAGAAAGTAAGCCGCTGCAACATTAATGTGTGCAAGGCTTAGGAGACAATGGGGAACCAACAGTAGTCGAGTCAACCATGTGCATGCACATATTACTACAAAGTTCTTCGCTTAATCATTCACATGATATGACCGTCAAAGCGACGAAAGACAGCCAGCAGGATTCTCAATGTCATACCGATCCTGTAGCTGGTTTCAAATGGTTATATTGCCGCATTGGCATTCTATTCTAACGTGAAAAACCTCAGAGTATAACGATTGTGGAGGAATTCTAACCGAGGTTCTCAGAATGCTTCCAGTAACTAGTCCCAAGGACACTAAAAACGAAGGAGTGATGCTAAGGTTTATGTCACAATCTGCTTTATGGCAAATAGTGTGGAAATTGACCAAGTATTAGAGAGATGTATCAATTTTCACCACGGTGGCATTCCCGTGGACATTCTATAAAGACAAATCTTGAAGTTGCGGTTAGCCACCCCCCAGCTAACGCGAACAGCACACAATCTAGGAAGTTTTTGAGTTACGTACTCGCAAATGTGATCAAGAGGGAGCTCCATGACCTTACTGGGAGTATATGCATCTAAGAAATGCGGGACCAGGCTCAGCGTCGGCCGCTTCGAAGTTGAAGTGGGTAAAGAATCGCTAAGCATTTTTCGGGCTTAGGAAGTTACGAAATTGAATTTCTCTGGAAGAGCCCTCCATAGACAGCCAATATTCGAAACATTTCTAGATCGACTGGACTTAGCCTTGTCACGGGCCTGCAAGACCGGGAGACTCTGGCTAGTTTGCCGGCCCTGGGCAAGCTGAAGGAGAAGTGGTACGGCTTTGATCCAATCAATCGTCTGCTCCCCTGTAAGATGACCAGAAACGGCCAGGATAAATCTGCGCCAAGATGGAATTCAGGTGAGACGCACTGAAAGATTCTAGGTCTTCTAATTTGGATAACAGCATGAATGGATTCTCAGCTGGCTGTTTTCAATAATTCCTTGCATAGCTGCCGATCATCACCAGACTCTGTCTCAAGATATTCATGTCTTCCACTTCATGGAGCGCAACTGAGCTGAAACGTTTCCATTTAGGACTGTTATTTGGAATTCAGCTGTCGTAGGGTGAGGCATGTGCCTTTTCTCAGATGCCTACTGGATAATCACAAAATGCAGTGATCCGTTCCTCTGCATGGGTGATTCGAGTGCAAGAGAAACCTTGACACAAGATTGAAGGGCAAAAAACTATATATACCTAGTGTCCTTGCTAGATATCTGTCTTGCTTTCCTAACCTCTTCAACAAACACTCCTAGTACATACTTCAGCAAACCCGAACTTTAAGCCAATTAACATTGTCCTTCATCTCGATACATCATTCACGTAAGACTTCCCACCATGACGTACACGCATAACTCGTACTGAATCACCGTAATCCAGCATGTCTTACTCGATCAAGGCCCGTGTTTACCAGACCAACACCAACGCCTACTTCAACATCGTGGAGAAGGGCGTCTGGCAGAATGGCACCTGGAGCGACCAGGATGGTGTCCTGACCCTGGCCATGGGCGGCAGCGGAACCTCGGGCATGCTCCGGTTCATGACAGAGCAGGGAAAGGAGATCTTCTTTGTCACCCTCGGCGTCCACAATTGGAAGCCTTGGGTCGACATCACGGAGGCTCCTTGGCCCAACGCCAGTTGTGTCAAGATCCTCCCCGAGTACTATGACGCCAAGTACCCTGTGCGCTGCGCTGCCCGCGATTCTCAGCGTGCTTCGCACTCCATTCATACCGCCGAACATCGCACCATCTCCGCCGAGTACAAGGTTGCCGAAGGACACAACCTTGAGCTTAACATTGTTATCGGTTAAGGTGATGCGGGAACGTATCCCGGTGGATAAAGGTGCTGAGAGTTTATCAATTGCAAGGTCTCGGTATACAATTGGGATCTATTTGTCATGTATCACTCAAAACTGGGTAAAGAGCGTTCGGTTTTCCTTGTGACTCTCCCCTCCGATCAAGCAAGGTAGCGAGTAGTACGACACTGTTATACTCAATATTATATTCTGTGCTATCGAGACTATGCCCATCCCATTGGCAGAACTATAAAGTTTGGAATGACTTGGAGTAAGTATATAAAGGAAAACACTTGGGCGTTGTTTATTCACCTTGTGTTGTAATTTTATTAGAGTTTACAAAAAATGCAAAAAGAAATGCTCACTGGAGAAACGGGGATTTGAACCCCGGACCTTTTGTAGTGTATGTTTTTGATCATGCAAAACAAACGTGATGCCCCTACACCATTTCCCCATTGGGACGTCAGTCAACATCTAACTTTTTTATATATACCTGACTTTCTAATTGCTCATCTTCCTCCCAGCCTATCTGTCTGCTCTCTCACTGACTAAAGTGTTCAGAAAGGGAGATGCGTAATGTGATCAATGCAAACAGTAATATCCCGAAAACGTTACAGCTCATCGCTTGCTTAATCAACTAACCGCGCGCTTCTTTGCATAAATAAACGAAATAAACAAGGTCCACGGACCTAGCCGTGGCGCGCGCGACACATTATAGCCATGGTATATATAGTTGCAGGTCGCCACAACCAAACCAAGGAGGATCATCTTCCCGGCCCAATCGGGGCTAAACAGGGGTGATAAGTCTGAATTTAGTTATACGGGTACGCTTAAAGCTGACAGCCCTACGTTTCACGAGATGTCTCCAGGGCTGATGAATCCGGCTTCCAAACAAGTTAGCGGTAGATTATTCCGAGCATCAGTCCGAGCAGAGGCATCTACCTGCCCCGGGCTTGTCGGGCGGCCCGCTGGCACACGCGATGCCCGGGGAACTCAACAGGTATAAAATGCACTCGAGGCTGCTTATTCGCTTCTTTACGAGAGCCACTCATCAAAGACTATCTTGAACACTATCCTATACATGATACCCGATAAGTGCCCAACATGCGTCTGTCTACCTTCACCAGTATGTGGAAACTCTCATTGGCTGTACCAGTTCTTCGCTTCACATGACTAACTACAACTATAGCTCTGCTCGCCCTCGGAAGCTCAGCGGCTGGCACCGACTGCAAGCCCCGTAACCCCGATGGGTACGCTGCTAGCGACGAGTTGGCTTCCTGGATCGGAAAGGCTGTCGACGACTTCTATCCTTTCCGTGACACGTGGGCTGCCGCCTACGACGCATCATTCGCACCCAATCTCTCGGCGACATTCAACGCGACAAAATTCGACTTCAACACCTTGAGGGCTGCCTATGGTAGCTTCCTGCCTAAGCTCCAAGGCCAATACGCTGGCACATTCGTAAGTCTCTTGATTGATCTCGTCATGAGTTCTATGGCACTAATAGTTTAATAGGGCCACGGCTACTACTCTGTTGTCGCGGTCCCCCATGCTAGCGACCGTGGTGGTTTCGTTTACATCACTGGCTGGGCCGGTGGTTACATCGACGGCGATGCAGACCGACTGTACAATGTATCGCACGCCGCTTTTGGTGTTGTTGAACAACAAGAGGACTGCTCTATTAAGATTGCGGAGTGGCGCGAGAGCTCTAACATGGCCCCCTCGCCTTGAATAGCGCCATCAGTTCATTCCATTGCCCTCCCAGGTGAAATTGGGACTAAATGCCACAGGAAACGAGTCGTCCAATAGCGGCAGTGAGTGGTGTAAGCTGTCCAATGGGAGCAGTGAATGGTGTAAGCTGATGGTGTGAGAGGCGGAGTGGGACGCGGACTTCGCCCAAAAAGTTATACGAGACCTTTAGCGTCATAAGCAGGAGATGGAGTTTTTGTTATTTAAAGGCCTATTGATTCCATATCTTGCCTGGCTATTGAACTTACAGATTGCCTTACCAGACAATTGAACCCGTCCTTCTCCTATCTTTACTGTCTATAAACATGCATCTTATCTTAACAGGTGCCACTGGCCATGTTGGCTCTGGTGTTCTTGATGCCATGATGAAAATGAAAGACATCACAAGAATATCAGTGCTCAGCCGAAGGTCAGTCAAGTTTGCAGAGGATGCTAAAGACCCCCGAGTCCATGTCATTCTCAACAACAATTTTGAGAAATACGACCCTGAAATTATCAATCAGTTGAAGGGGGCTACGGGGTGTGTCTGGGCACTAGGAGTTAGCCAAACACAAGTCGGGAAAGAGTAAGTGGCTCATCGAAGGAGTGACAATACGACTCCATGGGAGGCTAATTTTGTACCAGGGAGTATGTTAGAATCACAAAAACCTTGGCTCTTGAGTCGGCAAAAGCATTCCAGGCTCTGCCGATCAACAATGAGCCATTCAACTTTGTGTATGTATCCGGCAACGGAGCAACCACTCAGCCAACCAGTCGTTCAGTCACCTTTGCCCGAGTCAAGGGAGAGACCGAGCTCGCTTTAGCAGAGATGCGAAAGCAGAACCCCTTGCTTCATGCTTTGTCTGTCCGCCCAGCCATCGTTGACTCTTCCGCCCACACTGTGATTCAACCATACGTCCCCGAACCTAGTTTACCGATCAAGGCTGCAAGATTTGTCCTATCTCCCATTGCCCGCACGTGGTTCCCGAGTCAGACGAGCCCAACTGAGCCGTTGGGTAGATTTTTGGCTGAGGCTGCCATGGGGAGACATCGGGAACAGTTCAAACCTGGTCCCGGAATCGAAATGATTGGGGATTTCCCTATCTTGGAGAACTCGGTGTTTAGAAAATTGGCGGGTCTTGATTAATACAAAGAAGTTATTAGTCGGCCTGGAGTACAACTACCTAATATCAATATCTACAGGCTACCAGAATCTTCCCTATAGATTATGCTTTACGAGCATCTCCACTTATTAAAACAAACATCATCCTCGTGCAATCCGAGACATAAACATAAGCAGATTTTGAGAAGATTTGTTTCATATGTCTTGGGTGAAAGAAAATACTGGTGCACTGTTCTTGCAGAATGATCATTGCCTGCGGTACCGCTCCAAATGGGCGTGCTGATGTGAGCGCAACCTGAGTTTTAGCAAGCGGGTCCACCAGAGGAGATTTTCCTCACTCCCAAATTTTCACTTTGACACCAATCTCATTGTCAAGAATCCAACCCAACTTTCTGAGAGCAGGCCTCTTGAAAATGTCAAAGGGATATCTCCATAGTATCCCGCCATGCCCGAGTCGCAGCTATATACCCTGAAGAGGTCACCGGATGGTGGCCATGGCTTATTTGCTAGGGTGGCAATCAAGGCAGGCACTCGCATCATCCAAGAACAGCCCGTCCTGATGCTCTCAAAGGAAGAAGTTCAGACGCAATCTGAAGAAAAATGGGTGATTGCAAGAATGGGCCAGTTACCCGATGAGGCTCAGAACGAGATCATGGACTTATATCACGACCCGAAGAAATTCCAAGACTTCAAGTCTCACCACAACCAGAAATGTCCCGGTACCGACTGGGATGCTGGTCTTGTTCTGGCCAAGTTCTACACCAACGCTGCTTCAATCTCTGGCGGACTCAAAGTTGGGCTATTCACGACGTTTTGCCGCATGAACCACTCATGCATGCCGAATACGTGCTGGGTGTACGATGAAGTGACCGGAATGGAAGTGTATGCGGTGAGAGATATCAGTGAGGGAGAGCAAATCACGGACTCTTACACCGAAGTCGCGTGTTCTAGAGAGAGCAGGGCAAAAGAACTGGCGAATTGGGGGTTTCGTTGCGCATGTACGGCATGCGAAGGTCCAGAGGCTGGAGTAATTGACATCAGGCGGCGAAGGGTGGCGCAAATCAGAGAGCTCCTAGAGCTCTACAGCCGCAAGGATGAGAAGCCTATTTTTTCAGAGGTACCGAAAACGGATTTAGAAGCTTTAAAACTGGCAGAGGAAAGTGTCTCGTTGTTGTCGTTGGAAAATCTGGTTGAGGAGCTCGGTGCTGCGCACGGATGGTGTGCCAAATTTGCTCGTCGAGCCGGGTTGAAAGATGTCAAGGACTTCCATGAAGACAAAGAGTATCAAATTCTGGTTCTTACGACGGGAGAAAGTGAATAGAGAGATTCCTTTGACCTAAACCGAGGAGGACACATCATAACCATACGGGTCAAGGCAGGCCTGGATAGCCATGCAAGCGGTAACAATTTCAGCACCCGAGTTTAAAATTATAAAGATCCTACCTTTTGTATCCTACTATTCTACATGGAGTCTTCCAAGAAGTGCAACTCACGATATGCTTTAGTCTCGACGTCGGTAAACCACTCATGGCCAGTTGAAACCCCGTCAGCGCCGACCTCCCATATTCCATCAACAACATAACCAGCCCAAACCTCAAATACTTCTGCGAACCGCGGCGCCCTCCCGATTCCCCACGGTCTTTGAACTTTATGAGCCATATCCCTGTCAGTTGCTTGGGCTGTCACAAGCTGAATCGTGTCCGCAAACTTATCGTCAATTGCCGTGTACAGTCCGGGAAGGAGCGAAATTGTGAGCCTCTCCAAATGTCGCTCGCGAATGTTGAAAGGAGTTCGAAGCCTCAGTGATCCATCGGCAAGTGGAAGAATGAGTGAAGGGTATAGGTCTGGCTCATCGGGAAATCTCTTGATGAACTGACTTCGTTCCGAATCAGGAAGCTCCGAACTCATGATGGCTTCAAATCTTTCATCTGTAAAGGCCGTAATGCACGGCGCAACGAAAGTGAAATTTGGCTGCTTGGCCCGCGTAAGAAAGGCTTTAGCAAAGGGGCTTATCCGAAATTGATCTACCAGACTGGTGGGCAGGGGATCGCGATAATTGTCTTCGCCCGAATCATCAAGGCGGCTTTGGATAGTTTCCAGTAAGCCCTCCCAAGTGGAAAGGGTTTCTTCCAGATCTCCGGGTGTAAACCCCCGTATCAATATTGAAGTTCTACTGTCGTCCATCCAATAGTATTTTCCACGATCCCACATCTCCAATAATTTTAGAAGCGCAAACTCAAGCGGCACCCATGACTCAGAATCGCTCGCAGGAAGGCTGCTACATTCCAAATTGCCGTAAGTCACTCGTTTGGTGAAAAGGTCAAGAAATAGGCCTGCATCCTGCTGGATATCAAATGCGGTGGGGTAGAGTAATATGATGTCTGGATCGCTCATCTCTCCGTATGTTCGGTTCCAGAATGCTACTGCATCAGGCTGTCTAAACTCGCCTGTGAATGGAGCGTGCCGTGGATCATAAACATTCAGCTGGGAGAAGAAACGAACAATATCGTCTTTCTGTAATGCATCCGTGTCCGCCCAACCCGGAGGATTCTCAAGAGCTATCTGGATGCAGTTCTGTTGCATATTCTCAGCGGCGTTAGGAATGTGACTAACTGCCCTGGCAAGGAGCTCATTGTGTAGGAGAGCGCATTGGTCCGGATCAAACTCGGCATTGACTTCTTGCTCTGGAGGGATTTCGTCCATTTCGATGGCTTGAAATAGGTAACAGAACACAGTTTGGATGCGGTAGTAGCCGAAAGGAAAAAGACGTTAGGTGATGTTGAAAGCCTACGGTACCAGAAGAATTCACGGCACTCAGAAGGGGCGAGGCACCGATGAATAGGATCTCTTAAACTGGAACATTGAAGAGAAAACAGAAAAGAATAAATGAGTGTTTTCCCTGTTCAGAAGTCTCTCTGTTGCCAATATACAGATTGCTGCTTTTAGACTGAGGATGCAAGGTGAATGGAAGGGTCAGCAACAGTCTTGAGTTTTGTTTTATCAGCTCGTGACTTTACGAGCGTTAGTTAGGTAGCCTTGGCATACCAATTGGTTTTACCTAATGAAGAAGTAACTCCGAAATTGATTATATCAGCAGAGCTGGGTTTCTCAATCCATCTACACATTGAGAGAATAGTAACTAGAAAGATACAACGAGATCTCCCCAACTTCTCATATACATCTTTTAATTAATATCGCCATGCCAATTTTATCTCATTTTAGATAGCCGCCTTATACAGCCCTTTAGGTTCTTCAAACACTTAACTCACCAACTGAGGGCATTGCACCAGTGAAAAATATTCAAGTTTCCAGATACTTGATTGGATATTTACCATTTATAGGCCTATTGGATTTTCCCTTTTATCACGGTTAAAATTTAGAACTCGCGCGACCAAGTACTCGAGGAAAGGATAATCCAAACTGTCATAAACAGGTCCAATATATCCCATTGGGTTGCTCAACACTAACAACCTTTCTTGGACCATCGGAAACGCACTGACACTGGCATTAATTGCGTTTCTTCTCTTTGGATCTGAGACACAATATCAACAACAGCTAATTCCGGCATGTATTGATGCTTGAGTTGCTTCGGGAATCACGTGTGCCATCCGTGGTCTAGGTTAGCTTAGTAAACAGGCTACATAAACCAAGAGAAAAAAAACTCATCCACCAGCCACTCCACTTAATATGTCATATAATAACTTGCCTGGCATACGAATGGCTCTGATCATATTGCCAAACGAATATGATTAGGGAGAGTAATATTGCTAAGCAGGGCCTCGACGGGCAAGTGCCTGTGAAGAAACCCAAGACTAGAAAATATGCCCCCAAAGTCCGCACAGGCTGCATCACTTGGTAAGTTGCCAAGCCGGTGATCATCTCAGAACCAGGCTGACTGGTGACCGACGTGCTTATTGGAGATCGTCAACTAACAGGCTCGCAGCAAGTAAGACTTTATCTCCACCTCTCTTATTAGTGGGGCTGTTCAACATGCTCTATAATGAGTTCTTCTTGATCTGACAAAGAAACAATTCAGATTTCGCCGGAAGAAGTGCGATGAGCAGAAGCCTTTCTGTCGTCGCTGTACAGAAGGCGGCTGGAAATGTGACGGCTACTCTCCTATAGCCAAGGAATCCACTTCTAAGAAACAGAAGAACAGTTCTGCGGCTTTGATCGAGCCTAATGTTCCCCCGAGCCAGCAGTCAACAGCATTGACGTTGATCAGTGGACAACATGCGGGAATTCCAATACTACCAAGACTCCCGCCAACAAGAAATATCCTTGAGCAGCGCTGCCTGAGCCACTTTTTCACCCACACTCTCAATGAAATTGATCTGTCGCCTGGCATTAACGGATTCTGGCTTAAGACGCTCCCAGCTCTAAGTCAGAATGAGCCAATGGTTCGGCATGCCGTTACTGCGTTGGGTGCCACCCACTGGCTCTTCCTCAGTCAAAACTCCCCCAATATCAACCATGAAGCTAAATTCCAGGCGGTTGTTACTCAGCAGTTTACGAACTCCATCTCGCGATTGGTGCCTCTCATGTCTCAGGCCAAGCCCGAGAATACTATCTTGGTCTTGATATGTTGCCTGCTATTTGTATTCATCGAGTCCCTGAAAGGCTCCCAGACCGAAGCCTTGCGACACCTTACAGCCGGATGCCGACTCCTCGCATCTACTCGCGACCTTCCACCGGAACTAGAAGGGAAGCTGCGCGAAATCGCAACAGTATTCCGGGGACTCGGGTCCGTCGTCAACATGTTTAACGAAGACAAGATAATACCGGATCTTGCGGCATATGCGGAACTGCCAAAAGGATACGAAGATCCGACAAAGCCGTATGATAGTCTTGATGAGGCAGAGCAAGCCCTGGCTCATCTTGATTTGTTTCTCTCGGACATGCACTGCACCCACGACAACGCTGAAGGGCCGTTCCCTGAGCGACTAAAAGAGATCAACGAGGAGACATTTCGGAGCCTTGGAAGGCGCTTCCGAAAATGGGAAGCCCGCTTCGAGAGAACTCTCGAAAGTCTGAGGCCGCCTCGTAGCTATGAACTCCTCAACTTGAAGCTTCAGAGGGACCTCTGGGCTCAAATGATGAAGCAGCCATATGGTGAAGAGCCGGTTATTGATGAAGAGAAGTGTATGTGGTTAATGGATAAGGTGGAGGAATTGCTCGAGATGACGAAGCCAACGCAAAGAGTTTTCACACCTAAGGCAGATTTGATCCCGGTGCTGGTCGTGGTATACGGATCATGTCCGGTTGTCAAAGTACGGAACCGGGCGATAGCTCTATTACGGCTACGTAGCCGAAGGGAAGGGTTCTGGGATAGTGACGAGACAGCTGATTTCCTACAGTTGGATTTTGATAAATGCTTGGCAGGTCAGAAGGGCACATCGTGGCCGGCCGTCGGTCCTTCTACTGCCCAAGGGGCACTTCTGGTTTTCAGGCCGAAGCCAGAAGCATAAACGATTAGAGCTTTGGAGGAAATCCAGTATATGCAACCATCGCTGAGGGGATATAGAGCTAATGATAATGGTAAACAACGCGACGTATTCGTCATGCCTATGATACACTGCCCTCCTAGCCGTTTCCCTCTAATTGGCAATGATGAGACCATTGCTTCTCTGTAGATAGAGAAGGTGTATCCGCGATAGATACGGACTCTTTGCCCTCTCTTATTTTTATTCCTTGGCCGTCGTATATATGTACGAAAGCGGGAGTACAACCGCTGCGAGGCCAACCACCCAGGGAGCAAGCTTCTTAGCTACTCGAAGGTATACCATTTGTTCTCCTTCCTTGTGCCTCTTCTTTCTATCAGCCCTATCGTTTAGACGCGGAAATGGTACATCTGGGATATCTTTCCCCAGAAACGTGCACAGCGGTTCCCATCCGTCGCCGATAGAGTACTCCAACCTCCGCTCGGGCGGAACCATGTCCCGAATCTTTTTGAAGTACTCGTCATACCCGCGTCGTGCATTTGCCTCAATCTCGGACATGTTTCTGGCGTCAAAGAGCCCGAGGCTGACTTTCGTCAAAGCGTGGGCGGACCTTGATCTCAAAACATGGCTCACGAGAAATAGCATGACGGTCTGACCGACGGTGAAGAGCTTGTCTAACACAACGACCTTGTAGCTTATCCACCAGCTGTCAAAGTCCCGCTGAACAATGACGACCTTGGCATTGGGGTATGCCTCGATGAGCTGATCGACAAATGGACAGGCCATGTCGGTGACAATATCATATTTGGACCCCCAGACCTCATCCCAGTCTTTGCGAGTGAACCTTTGCTGGGGTCTGGCACCAGGAATCGACGGCCAGGTTGCTTCTGCCGCTTTCTCGATGGATTCCCATGGGTTCCCGAGGATGTCCTCATCGCCATGGTGCGTCTTGTAGCCCAGAATTCTATACGCATGTGCCATAGATTTCGTTGCCATGCGGAACAAGGCGACGTGGATGACGGCTAGGCCATCGTCCGACACTTTTTTGGCCGGGTTCATGGTGAGAGGAGTTGCAATGGGGCCTCTCGAATTCGCGTCTGTAAAAAACCTGTCGGGGTTGAAAAACGTGAAGCCATCTTGGACAGATATTGATGGACACGGGCATGGGTGCACGAAGGGTTTATTTTTTTCCGGGGACGTGCTGTTCGCTTATAGCTACCCTCGAATATTGCTCCCTTTTGGGGGAGCTCTACTGTCCTCCATTGCTTCCCGATTGCGACAGTGACATACTGTGGTGGGACGCAAGCAGTTCAATCGATCAAATGTTACAGAGCAAGCTTAAGCGCATGTAGAGCCTACATAGTCGCCGCCCGTATTCTGGGAATTGCTCAATTACTTGAGCATGGTGTTGAGGATGAGATGCCAGATGCGCGCCGACCTCGTCCCGGCTCGAATTGCTGCAATTCGCGATGACGATTGGAACCTGGACCATTGGGGCTACAGCTACATACATTATTGGGCAGCGCGTGACCGGAACCTGCGAAAGCCCCTATCTGGGCGTGCGGGCCTGACTCCAGGGGCTGGCCTCCCTGAGGAGCGGCGGTCGATCCACCAGACTCAGTGACAGCGGCGCTGTTTTTTAGTCTTGTTCCGTGTTCCCTCGACTTTATTCACCGAGTCACAGCCAAATGTCACCGAGTCAAGCAACGAAAACAAACTGCATGGCTGGGCGGGCGCACGCCTCCACGAAGCTATGCGGTGGTCAGATCTGCAGAATTTGCCCCTCGCTTCGATCTCGGCCATCCAGTGAGCAGATGGATGTTGTCGGGTCGCTTCCGGATAAGCTCCGTTGCTCGGGGCCGCCAGAGTAGCCGCGCACATACGGCCAGCTCAACTAGACAGCTCCTCCCGACCACAATCACACCTTCATAGCAGTCCAATCAAACTTTACACTTCTTTTCTTTTCTTCCTTTGTTCATTCTCTCTTCTGATATCAGCCTTCGACTGCTACCGCGTCTAGTCTGCCATCTCCCACATCAACGCAGCCATGTCTCGATCACGCACAGTTGGTCTCACTGGCAGACGCCTGCAACAGGCCTTTTCGCCTGCTCACAAATATCAGTGGTCGCGATCAGTCGCGTCGCTCTCATCAGCAGACAAGACCGTAGGTATCCCTACTCAGATGAAATATTCAGAAGAAATTATTCGCTAATATTTTTAACAGCTTCTAGGCGGCTCTCTCCTAGAGAATGACCCCGAGCTTCATGCAATCCTCAAGCGTGTAAGTGCAAGCCATCACAGGGCAATCAAGTACAGCGCTGACTCCCAGTACAGGAGGAGAAGAGGCAGCAGCACTTCATCAACCTCATTCCCTCTGAGAACTTCACATCCAAATCTGTGCTCGAGGCTTTGGGCAGTGTCATGCAGAACAAGTACTCTGAGGGATACCCCGGAGCCAGATACTACGGAGGCAACGAGCACATCGACGAGGCCGAGAGACTGTGCCAGAAGCGTGCTCTGGAAGCTTTCCGCCTCGAGTCTGATCGATGGGGCGTCAATGTCCAAGGTCAGTTTCTCTGTATCAATGCTGAGAGGCACAATTATTGACACAAGATAGCCCTGTCTGGATCACCCGCCAACCTCTACGCCTACTCGGCTCTCCTCAACACCCATGAACGCATCATGGGTCTCGATCTTCCCCAGGGCGGCCACCTGTCCCACGGATACCAGCTCCCTACCAAGAAGATCTCTATGGTCTCCAAGTACTTTGAGACTTTGCCCTATGTCCTAGACGAGAAGACGGGCCTCATTGACTACGAGAAGCTGCGCCAGAATGCTCTTCTCTACCGCCCCAAGATCATCATCGCCGGTACCTCCGCCTACTCACGCCTCATCGACTACGCCCGCATGCGCGCCATCGCAGACGAGGTCGGTGCCTACCTCCTCGCCGACATGGCCCACATCTCCGGCCTCGTCGCTGCCGGCGTCCTCCCCTCCCCCTTCGAGTACGCCGACATCGTCACCACCACCACCCACAAGACCCTGCGCGGCCCCCGCGGCGCCATGATCTTCTTCCGCAAGGGCGTCCGCTCCGTCAAGAAGAACGGCGACGAGGTCAAGTACGACCTCGAGGGCCCCATCAACGCCTCCGTCTTCCCCGGCCACCAGGGCGGCCCCCACAACCACACCATCACCGCCCTCGCCACCGCCCTCCGCCAGGCCAAGACGCCCGAGTTCGCCGAGTACCAGAAGCAGGTGCTCGTCAACTGCAAGGCGTTCGCGGCCCAGCTGTCCGACGCACTGGGTTACACGCTCGTCTCGGGCGGCACCGACAACCACCTCGTCCTCGTCGACCTCAAGCCCAAGGGCGTCGACGGCGCCCGCGTCGAGCGCGTGCTCGAGCTGTGCGGCATCGCCTGCAACAAGAACACGGTGCCCGGCGACAAGTCGGCCCTCAAGCCCGGCGGCCTGCGCCTGGGCACGCCGGCCATGACGACCCGCGGCTTCACCACCACCGACTTTGAGCGCGTAGCCGACATCATCCACCGCGGCATCGGCATCACCCTCGCCGTCGACAAGGAGGCCAAGGCCGAGGCTCAGGCCAAGGGTGTGAAGAACCCCGCCACGGTCAAGGCTTTCCTGAACCATCTTGGTGACGGCAAGCAGGTTGAGGAGATCCAGACTCTGCGGAAGGAGGTTGAGGAGTGGGTTGGGCAGTTTGACCAGCCCTGGGTTCTGTAGGGGAATGATATCACACATTTATGATTTTGTTTATAGCCATATTTTGATCAATGATTTTTCCTTGGAGATGGAAAAAAAAGACTTAATTTCAGCGTTTATTCTACACATTTAACTTGATCTTACCATTCCCCTGTGATGATATATTGATGAATATCTTGACTCTTTCTACTAGTTGTAGCGCCGCACGACACATGCATTTCCCCAGCTGTGTCTTCGCCTGCCAAATTACATTGACCTTCCCTGTATTTACTGAATGCAATTGATCCCGAGTGCGTCCGATTTACGGCCTCCGATGACAAAAAAATCGACAGATTAGACTCGAGCTTAGCCTAGGTTACGGCGTGCCGCGCAGTCGAGATAACGGACCGGGGGAAAAGACCTTTTGCCTGCCATCGTCACTGAGTCCAGCTTCACTGAGTCCCCCTTCACTGAGTCCAGCCCAGAATCCGCTCCGGCCCAGCCTCATGCATCAGTGGAACCTAGAAATCACCGAGTCTGTGGGGAGAGTCGCATCCTCCATCCAAGTGGGTCGGCCCATCACCGAGTCAAAGAAAACGAGCCCATTCCAGCCCACCAGCCCGCCGGTTTTCGATCCGAGCTCGAGATAAGGAAGCTTTGCTTAGCTGGCTCGAGGAGCAGTCCAGGTACCGGTGCGATTGTCGGGGGCAGTTAAGCTCGCCTGTCCTGCCTTGCTCCCAATTTTCACCTTCCTCAGCAGTTTGCCAGTAATAAACCCGCTATTTGCTATCACCAGCCTCTTACACACGTTCTCACTCCGCATATCCCTTTCACTCACATTTCATAATGGCTACCCTCTTCACACGCCAGGCTGTTGCCTCTGCCTCGAGAACGGCACGATGCTGGAGACCGGCAGCCGCCAAGGTTGCTCCCATCAGCAGGGCCCTGCCCATCTCACAGCACATGAGCTTCTCGCAATCAGTACAACGTAAGATCTAAACAAACCTCACTTTCGTCATGAACTTTGATACTGAGACACCACCACTAGGCCTTGAGAAGCGCTTCACCGAGACCCACGAATGGATCGACGTCGCCAGTGACGGCAAGACCTGTAAGCACCCTCATCACCCTGATCCCAAAGCAATTGCTAACTGAACATTAAGGCACAATCGGCATCACCAAGCACGCCGCAGAGGCCCTCGGCGACATCGTCTACGTCGAGCTGCCAGAGGTGGGCGACGAGGTGGGCAGCGGCGACAGCTTCGGCTCCGTCGAGTCGGTCAAGTCGGCCTCTGACATCGTCTCCCCCATCGACGGCAGCGTCGTCGCCGTCAACGACCCCGTGGCAGAGACGCCCGCCGACCTCGGCAAGGACCCCGAGGGCGAGCAGTGGCTCATCAAGGTCGAGGCCGCCGACCTGGGACCTGTGGATGGGCTGATGGACCTGGAGGCGTACGCCAAGTTCGCCGAGGAGGATCACTAGATATTTGCTTCGTGTTCAAAATATTATTGTTTAAGATTTTATTGTTTATAAAGCCGTCAAGTCTATTAAAAAAATAACATTTTTAAAAGTATAAACTCCCTCTATTCGCCTTGTGATATGTTGAATCCCAATGCATCGCTATCGTAGACCTCGTTGAATGAAGACTACCTTGCATTTTTCACCATTTTTGCAGTCTTCACTTCTAAATTAATCCCCAAATAATTTTAAAAAACACAAATCATGTAACCAAAAAATCAAATCGCTCTTTCTTTCTCTCTATCTAAATTAATTACTCGGCAAGCTCCTCCACAGACGGACACGTACAGTACAGGTTGGTATCACCGTACGCATCGTCCACCCTCGCCACCGACGGCCACATCTTCTTGGCCCGCAGGTACGGCAGCGGGTACGCCGCCTCCTCGCGCGTGTACGGCCTGTCCCACTCGCCCGACAGCAGGTCCTGCTGCGGGTGCGGCGCGTTCTTGAGCAGGTTGCCGACCTTGGGCACCTTGCCGGACTCAATGGCCGCGATCTCCTGGCGGATCTGGATGAGGGCGTCGCAGAAGCGGTCGAGCTCCTCGCGCGACTCGGACTCGGTCGGCTCGATCATGAGGGTGCCCGAGACGGGGAAGCTCATGGTGGGCGCGTGGAAGCCGTAGTCCTGCAGGCGCTTGGCCACGTCGGCGGCCTCGACTCCCGCCGTCTCCTTGAAGGGGCGGATGTCGAGGATGAACTCGTGCGCGCACCGGCCGTTGTCGTTGGTGTAGACGACGCTGTAGTGGGGGAGGAGGCGGGACATGATGTAGTTTGCGTTGAGGAGGGCGACGCCCGTCTGGCGCGTGAGGCCCTCGCCGCCCATCATGAGGATGTAGGCGTGGCTGATGGGCAGGATGGACGCACTGCCCCAGGGCGCCGCGCTGATGGGCGCGATGGCCGTCGACTCGCGCGCCTTGCCGCCGTTCTGGGGGTCGGCCTCTGGGTGGCCGGGGAGGAAGGGGGCGAGGTGGCTGCGGACGCCGATGGGACCTACTCCCGGGCCGCCGCCGCCGTGGGGGATGCAGAAGGTCTTGTGGAGGTTGAGGTGGCAGACGTCGGCGCCGATGTCTCCCGGGCTGCAGAGGCCGATCTGGGCGTTCATGTTGGCGCCGTCCATGTAGACCTGGCCGCCGTACTCGTGGACGATGCGGCAGACCTCCTTGACCTCGGGCTCGAAGACGCCGAACGTGCTGGGGTAGGTGACCATGACGGCGGCGATGTCCTTGGCGTGCTTCTCGCACTTGGCCTTGAGGTCGGCGATGTCGAGGTTGCCCGTCTTGGCGTCGCACTTGATGGCGACGACCTTCATGCCCACCATGGCGGCGCTGGCGGGGTTGGTGCCGTGGGCGGAGACGGGGATGAGGCAGATGTTTCGGTTCGCCTCGCCGCGGCTCTCGTGGTAGGCCTTGATGGTGCGGAGGCCGGCGAACTCACCCTGGGCGCCCGAGTTGGGCTGCAGGCTGACCTCGTCGAAGCCGGTGATGGTCGACAGGTTCTTCTGGAGGGAGGCGAGCATGGCCTGATAGCCAGGAGCCTGCTCGACGGGAGCGAAGGGGTGGATATTTGAGAATCCGGGGTGAGAGACGGGAAGCATTTCGGTGGTGGCGTTGAGCTTCATGGTGCAGGAGCCGAGAGGGATCATGGAGTGGACGAGGGAGAGATCCTTGTTTCCAAGATGGTAGATGTATCGTAGAAGCTTGGTTTCGGAGTGGTGCTGATTGAAGACGGGGTTCTGGAGGAAGGCGGTCTTGCGCTGGAGGTTGGCGGGGATGGACGAGTTGGAGTAGAGAGCACTGTCCAGACCCTTCTCAACGGCGGCATTGAAGTCCTGCTCGGCCACGTTGAAGCACTTGAGAAGCTTGCCCAGGCTCTCCAGAGAGACACCCTCGTGGAGGGAGAAGCCCAGCTCGGTCTCGCTGATCTTGCGAAGGTTGATGTTGAGGAGAGAGGCCTTCTCGTGTGCCTTGATGACGGCATCTGAAGATCCCTCGAGGGTCAAGGTGTCAAAGAGAACAGAGCCATCGTCTCGGAGACCGGTGGTGGAGAGCTTGAAGTCACCCTGGCGCGTGATAAGATCCTGCGCCAGGCGAGTCTTGGCCCAAACATCCTGGGCAATGGCCTTGAGACCCTCGGGGCCGTGGTAGATGGCGTAGAAGGCGCTCATGTTGGCCAACAGAGCCTGGGCGGTACAGATATTGCTGGTGGCCTTCTCACGGCGAATGTGTTGCTCGCGAGTCTGCAGAGCAAGGCGAAGGGCTGGGTTGCCCAATCGATCCTTGGAAACACCGACAATACGTCCGGGAATCTTGCGCTTGTACTTCTCGGAGCAGGCGAAGAATCCAGCGTGGGGACCTCCGTATCCCAGAGGAACACCAAATCGCTGGGAGCTGCCGAGGGCAATGTCGGCGCCGAACTCGCCAGGCGCCTTGAGCTGAGTGAGGGCCAGGAGATCCGTGGCGACGCAAACGAGACCCTTGCCCTCGTGGACGAGATCGGAGAGGCCTTGGTAGTCGAAGACACCACCACGGGTGTCGGGGTACTGGAGAAGAACACCAACAAGGCTCTTGCCGGCCTTCTTCACGAGCTCGTATTCGTTGGCGAGGACGTCACCGACGACGAGCTCAATGCCGAATCCCTCCGCTCGGGACTTGAGAACCTCGAGAGTCTGGGGGTGGCAGTTCTCAGACACAACGAAGGTCTTGCCTCCGCTCTTAGGGGCGTTGGCGAAAGCCATGGTCATGGCCTCGGCAGCGGCAGTGGCCTCATCCAGGACGGAGGCGTTGGCGATCTCGAGACCAGTCAGGTCAGCGACCATGGTCTGGAAGTTGAGCAGGGACTCGAGACGGCCCTGGCTGATCTCGGCCTGGTAGGGAGTGTAGCTGGTGTACCACGCCGGGTTCTCAAGGATGTTGCGCTGGATGACGGCGGGGACCTGGGTACCGTAGTAGCCAGCTCCAATGTAGGACTCGGCGACGGTGTTCAGGTCGCCAAGCTTCTTCATCTGCTCCCTCACGAACTGCTCCGAGCGCCCGTTTGCAGGCACGGGAGTAAGGGGGTCCTCGGCCTTCCACTGCTCCACCAAATCCAGGCCAGTAGATTTCCTCCGGACCTGCTCTGGGATGGTCTGGCTGATGAACTCCTCCATAGAGGCGGCAGGGGGGACGAGCGCCTTGAGCATTTCCTGGTGCTCGTCTGCCTCGTCGCCAAGATGCCTTCGGGGGAAGGACTCATGTTGCTGGAGCTTGGCAAAGGACTCTGTTTCGGTGAAGCTCTTCACCTGGCTCAGGCGGTATACCTGTGTGGCAAACCCGCTGCGAAGACGGGGGCTCTGGTGGGCAGCATAGCACAGAACATCCCGGGAGGCAATACGAGGAGCCTTCCCGGGAAGTCGCTGCAACAGCTGTCGTCGAGCAGTGCTGGACAGCATTGTGACTTGGGACGAGATGTCCTGTGGGGTGGTTCTCTTGGGGTGAAGACAGGTGAAGAAGTCGAGTGAAGAAGTTCACAAGACAAGGGCTGCTATCTTTCCCACCCTTGAAAAGATAGATGACGCGATGGGAAACTACAAGTCAGACAATGATGTGTTCTGGAAAAGAAACTTTGGAAGCAGGAGGGATGGATGATGGGTAGATGATAAGCGCCATGCAAGTGCACTGCAGGCTGCTTGTTATCTCGCCCCCTGTTCTGGAACACTACAGCAAAGGGACCCTCATAATTTTTCCATCCGGTCGCTTCGACATCGGCACAGGCTAGAAAATTGCCTGAGGAAAGGCTATTGGCCGATCTTTGCCGGCAATCCCCGGCCGTGCCTCATGTCGGCGTGGCTCCGTGGTGGGGCGATGACTCGGTGAAATCCTCCTCTGACTCGGTGCTGAGCCGCTGTGCACCGCTTTGTATCAATCTCGAGGCCATTGTCGGGAGCTGGGGATCCGGGGTGACCAGGGGACGACACACACCTCTCGTTGAGATGGAGGGCGAGGAGATGACATTGCACCTCTTTGGACTGTATCACAACGCGTCCCGCGCAGCATCACCATGCCCCTTTTGGTGACTTTTACGCAACGATATCTCACACGGAGTCGTCTTGTGATCGATCAGAGAATGTATTGAGTTAGCGTAGTCGCCATGTTTCTTGTAGAATTGCAACATAGAAATACAATAAATACCGTCCAGGAGTAAAGCTCGGACGGTCTTCCGGCTTGCAAGTAGACTGAAGTTGGAGTTGTTCAAGCTTGAGACCAACATTCAAAGTTTCCTTCCATCTCTTCTACCTTCTAGCTTTTTCTAAATCACCTTCACTATACATCAATATGACTATCTCCCGCCGTCAACCATGGGTCGCGACTCCTCTAATTGAATCTCCCCAACTCTCAAAGAGTGCAGGATGGTATGTGTCCCCAGGACCTGGCCACCAATGATATCAAACTATCTTGGGGGCTCACGATGCGAAGATACATGTTCTAAATCGTAGAAGTAGAATCTTTCTTAAGCTAGACAACCTCCAACCCTCCGGCTCTTTCAAGTCCCGAGGCATCGGCAACTATCTCCTCAGCCGCATCCGAGAGCACGATGTCACTGATGGCAAGAAGCCGCACTTCTACGCCTCGTCCGGAGGCAACGCCGGCATAGCCTGTGTCGTTGCCGCCCAGTCCCTTGGGTATGAGGCCTCCGTCGTCATACCCACCACGGCCAGCCCGGCTCTCATCGCCAGGCTGGAAGAGGAGGGTGCTAGCAGCATCATCCAGCACGGGCACAGTGTCATGGATGCGGACCGGTACCTCAAGTCCACCGTCCTGCCCGCCGATCCAAACGGCGTGTATGTGCCGCCCTTCGATCACCCTGACATCTGGGCCGGCAATGCCACCGTGATGCAGGAGATTGCCGCGCAGCTGAGCGACGAGCAGCCCGACATCGTGGTCTGCAGCGTCGGCGGCGGCGGGCTCATGAATGGTGTCGTGCAGAGTCTCGATCAGCTCGGCTGGAGCAAGGGCACCACGGTGCTGGCCATGGAAACGGCCGGCGCCGACTCGCTCAACCAGGCCCTCGAGGCGCGGCAGCTGGTGACCTTGGAGAAGATCACGTCGCAGGCGCGCAGCCTCGGTGTCGCTACAGTGTCGCAGAAGACGTTTGACTACGCCCAGCGTGATCAGGTGGTCAGCGGCGTCTTGAGCGATGCCGAGGCGGCCAAGGGCTGCTGGATGCTGGCCAAGTATGAGCGCCTCCTGGTCGAGCTCACGGCCGGCATTGCGGTCAGGCTCTGCGAGGACAATCTCTTGGAGAAGTTTACTGGTAAGACACTGGACAAGGACTCCAAGGTTGTGCTGCTGGTCTGTGGTGGTAATGACATCTCGGTCGAGATGCTCATGCGATGGAAAGAACAGTACGGATACTAAGTGATGGATTATTGAATGTGTTTTTAATTACAATATTTACGACTAAGGCAAGCGTAGCTACTAGACGCAATGGGTATTCAATGGATTGACTGTGCGGGTTCCAACTTACTGTGACTTACAAACTGTAAGACATCATGCCATGTCGACATAAAGTGAAGTCATACACGATCTCTCTGCTGAGCCTCTACGTACCAACAGATGGTCAATCTACACCCCACACTTTCCTGCACCCTTGTGTCCATGCCAAAACCACGGAAGAAGCTCGTAAATCACCATGGTTGGTATTTTATGGAGCCTCCGAGAAACGGCGGCCGGGATTCGGAGAAGCACAACAAGCTGTCGCAACAGACGATCAATCGATTGAAAATTAGGACAATGCAATGTACTTCGTATCTCTGCCTGACGGGCGGCTAGACGCCTCCCCCTGGTCCGTCCGACGGGCGCAGTCGTAGCGGTGGCCACAGTTGCATCAAAGAAGATTGATGACTCGGTGATGTGACTCGGTGACAGCGAATCTCGACCACCAACAAAGAAGGCGACTAGCAGTGAAATTATTGCCTGATAAGCTCCTGTGGACATTCCGGCAATGGCTGGTCGCAGTGCATATTACCCCGTATCCAGGCACCGGCTACCATCCGACTGCTCTCAACATCACTTGATGAACAGCAGTAGTAGCAGCTGATCCGAGCATCGGCATTTCATCTTCTCCCAACCTCATCCCTTGTAGATACCTCTCGTCCAGGATCTTTATTATATTTACTACTTTTATTTTCAGAACCGGGCGGCAATCAGCGATTTGCCTCGACCCGGCTTACACGCCTCCAACTCATCCTCTCTCACCTTCACCACCAACACACATACATCATGGCATTCTCAATGTCTAGGCCGCTTTTCCGCTCGCGATTAGCATCCAGCCGGTGCTTGGCCTCCTTGTCCCGCTTCATCTCACATCCCGCCCCCATCACCTCCTCACGGCGATATTACTCCGCCGCCCCCGCCTCAGAAGAGCTCAAGAAGACTCCTCTGTACGACTTCCACCTCGCTAACCAGGGCAAGCTCGTCCCATTCGCCGGATACCACCTCCCCATCCAGTACGGCTCCCTCTCCCACAAGGAATCCCACCACTTCACCCGCACCAATGCCTCCCTCTTCGACGTCAGCCACATGGTCCAGCACATCTTCAAGGGGCCCGACGCCGCCGCCTTCCTCGAGACCGTCACCCCCTCGGACTGGCGCGGCCAGGGCTCCATGCAGAGCAAGCTGACCACCTTCCTCTGGCGCGAGACGGGCGGCATCGTCGACGACTCCGTCATCACCCGCCTCGGCGAGCAGGAGTACTACGTCGTCACCAACGGCGCCTGCCTCGAGAAGGACCTCAAGTACTTCGACGAGGAGCTCGGCAAGTTCGGCGGCTCCGTCGAGTGGACCACCCTCGACAACTCGGGGCTCCTCGCCCTCCAGGGCCCCCGCAGCGCCGAGGTCCTCCAGGAGGTCATCGCCCCGTCCTCCGCCGTCGACCTGTCCAAGCTGTACTTTGGCAATGCTGTCTGGGCCAACCTCAAGCTCTCCGGCGGGGAGGAATCCCACCCTGTCCTTATCAGCCGCGGCGGCTACACGGGCGAGGATGGCTTCGAGCTCTCCTTCAACGGCAAAGCCTACCCGGCCTTTGAGAGCACCCCGCTCGCCACGCAGCACCTCCTCCAGAACGCCGGTCCCGAGCGCCTCCAGCTCGCCGGCCTCGCCGCCCGCGACTCCCTCCGCCTCGAGGCGGGCATGTGCCTGTACGGCCACGACCTCGACGACACCACCACCCCCGTCGAGGCCGGCCTGAGCTGGATCATCCCCAAGGAGCGCCGCGCCTCCGGTGGCTTCCACGGCGCCGAGGTCATCAACGCCCAGCTGACACCCAAGAGCAAGGGAGGCAGGGGGGTTGACCGCCGCCGTGTGGGCTTCGTCATCAACGGTGCCCCCGCGCGCGAGGGCGCCGAGATCCACAAGGACGGCGAGAAGGTCGGCACCGTCACGAGCGGGCTGCCCAGCCCGACGGTGGGCAAGAACATCGCCATGGGCTACGTCAAGGACGGGTTGCACAAGGCCGGCACCGAGGTGGACATCGTCGTGCGGGGAAAGAAGAGGAGCGCTACGGTGACCAAGATGCCGTTCACGCCCGCCAAGTACTACAAGGGCGATGCATAGAGGGGTTGGGTTGTAGATATATCACGAAGTTTTCTTTTCAATGGGCTTGCGCGGGCTTTGGTTCTCTTTCATCCAAGTTTTGTTTGTCTTTTTTGTTTCTTTACCAGAGTGCTGAGTTTCATATGAAACCCAAGGGTGGTAAACCAGAATTCCACAATAACGCTAAACCGACAATGCTCTCCCGGGATCTTGTTGAGAAAGATCAGTAGGGGTTAGAAAAAAACACGAAGAAAATACTGAATTCAGAACGCCGAGCTGTCTCTGGTGGGACGTTGAGCCACCGTACTTCAGTGACAGCCCTTTTAAACTTCCCTTGCTGTAAAAGCATCCAGATTTATAGGGACGTGACGGAAAGACACTCCACCCCTTACTCTTAGAAAGGGTAGTGGTGATAGTGGTGGTGATGATGGTGGTGGTGGTAGTGATGGTGGTGGTGATGGTGATGGTGAAGATGGACGGAGGGAGTCGACGAAGATGGTAGGTTTGTCCGTCTCTCTACTTCAAGCTCTGCCGCGCGAGACTGGGAAGACTCCAAGATGTCTCGAGGATCTCCTGGGGCCGCTTGCTGATCAGGTCCAAGCTCCTCTTCTGCAGCCTGTTCGGTTGCCCTCAGCTGTGACTGGATCGCTGCGTCGTCGACGAGGGGTTGTGCTGCGTCATGGAAGTGAGGTGACATCCTAGTTGAGACCGCTCCCACGTGTGACGCAGTTCCCATCGCTTGCTCTGGGTGGCTTGACGATGTATTTATGGAATGCGTATGGGTGTGCAACTGAGATCCGGGGTGGTGCAAGTGAACTTCACTGGGCGGTGCCTGGATGCCGATGCCGGCGGCATTCCCTACCGAACTTACAGGAATTAATGACGAATTCAGGTTACCTGGACCAGGTACCAGATCTGGAGCGTGCCCATGCGATGAGACGTGACCCATATGACTACTGAAGAGGTTCGGGTCCGTGGGCACATCCAGGCCATTTACCACGAGCGGATCAAAATGTTCAAACCCCAAACCTACAGAGTCTTGGAAGTCCATTGCGCCGGCCACGTCGAGATCAGTGGGAACGGTCGGCGATTCTGGGGATTCGATGGGTTCGTTCTCTGAGATGAGCTGCTCGTTTGCTTGTTCAAGTTGATTGTCCGAAGCGCCTGGGCTGCTCTGCTGCTTGGACAGGTTGCGCCACCGGTTGCGACAGGTGAGCGGCGGTCGCCCTGGAAGCCGAGCAGAGATCGCCGCCCATCGATGACCCAGACTGCGCACGCCTTCTCTCAGAATGTTGTCCTCCTCGGGCGTCCAGCTCGTCAGCCTCCTCTGTGCCAGGGGATCTAGAATATCGTTGTATCGCTTGGAGCATTGGTCGTCCTTTCGCCCGGGGATGAGGGACGCGATCTCGTGCCAAGATGGGCCCAGCCGTGCGTATGCTTCGAGTAGAATTCGATCTTCGTCTTGCGTCCATCGTCCTTTTCGTAGAGAGGGGTCTAGAGAGTGAAACCACCGCTTGCGACAATCCTATCAGACATCAATTGGTTAGACGGAGGAATGGAAGCGATGACATGTGTGCAGACTGGGGGCTACGGCATAATCGCGCATCAAGAGATCAATCCCACCTTGGCCGTCCGACCAGGAATCCCGCAGGCAATCTCTTTCCACCGTCCGTTGGCCCCCCTCGCATCGCCATAGTGGGCAACGCGAGACCGTAGGGTCTGATCCTCCCAGGATGTCCAACTTCGCCGTGTTCGTCGAGCCGAGCTGGTGGGGCCCGTGTGCGTTGCGGTCGGCGGCTCCAGCTGGGAGGATACGGTCGGCATTGACGAGAAGAGATCCCCGAGTGCGTGAGTTCCCGTCCGTCTATAAGATGAATTGAGCACACATGAACGTAAGGCCGCTGGCCGAACAAGACAATCTGAAACCCTGGCTGAGTGATGACTTGCGGTCACATGGTTCGCTGGTTGGTGTGGATGTGTGGGATCTTGGGCGGTCTGGGAAGGCAGAATGGGGGGGTCGTGATGATAAGAGATAAGGCTCCCGAACTCAACCTCACGGCTTTAGCACAGGACACTGGCGATCATCTAACCATCCAAATGGCCTTCATTGATCATAGCAATTGTACACAGCATCTCAAAATATTTTCAAGCATCGTCGTACAAGACACCAATTGCCGGAGTTGGAACATTGAAAGTGAAGCTTACGCTGAGGGGTCATATGGAGCCCGGACATGATCGCCGCCAACATAACAAATCATGTGCCTTGGCTGACCTCCGATCCAAGCATCAAGCATCAAGCATCAAAAAACATCAAAAGTCGCCCACTGGGCACCCTGTCTCTATATAAATAAATCGCGGAGATGGACAAGAGTGATAAGAAGCCGTGAGCCCACTTCGTAACAGCAGCTTTCTGCCTTGGTTTTCGGGCTTCTCTCGGGCCTTCGGCGTTCGGTGTCAGCAGTTCGTCTGGGTCACAGCTCCAGCTCCGTGATTCTCATTGCGCCCATAAATAAGGCAAATCTTAGACAGACGGCACGGCGAACGCTAGTCGCTAACACGTAGACAAGAGTTCCTAGACAACCATTTAAGTAGGTCGAGGAAGAACCATCAATGTGTTGCCTGAAGAAGTGACTACCCTATACCTCCGTCCCCGATCAACCTCCCTCCGCCTCGTTTAGAAATAAATAGAAAATAAGGTACACGTGTGTTTAAGATGGAAAGCTCGTAGTTATTCTGAGTTTCATTCCAAATAAGTGCTCGTATATTGAGGGTGTGAATTTAGAAATATTGATTGATCCATAGTTCGAAATAGTATGTTGTCGCCCCAATCATCAGAATAACAGCGACTAAGATGTCTAAGTGAAGAATACAACCACTCACCTCGGCATGCTAAGATACCTTCCTAAAATACGGAAAAGCATTACGCTGATGAGCTACAGATCCTACAAATTGTTATTCCATTATTGGTAAGGAGTATTGACAGCCTTACCACATGGAGATGCCCTAGCAGTCGGGCTAGTATTAGCCCGAGTCATGCTTCTCCAATCTCATAACTTGACTGAAGAAATAGGGAAAATTCTCTCGTTCATCGGGATTCTGTCAACCCGAGGGGAGGACCGTATCCTTTGGAATCGATCTTGGCCGTCGTAGCTGCGCACATGCCATACTTTAATTCTGCTGTGGCGTCGGCCATTTCTTAGGAATCAATAATTCGGGTCAAAAAGTCCAATAATGACTTAGATTTGGTGGTGCTCGATCGGGCGCGGGAGGTAACCCGTGATGGATTCCACTTGGTCCACTGCACTTATTACGCACATCGCGGGGCTAGATCGTGAATGGACAGGGGCGGACCTGGACTCCGGCTCGATCTTGTACGACGTACCGCCACGAGGACACATAAATCTCGGGGACAAGCCGTCTAGACCGCTCCCGACTGGTACTTGGCCAAACTGATGGCTGAGACAGATCAGTAGTTCACCGTCTCTAGTGTTAGTTAGCGTCTTACACTTCGGCTTCTTCTTGGCAGGGGCCATGGCGTCCCGCGTGTTGTTGGTCTGAGCTTTGGCATGAACTCCTCCATCATGTTGAGATTCACTAAATAGGATCTTTTTCCTCACAGATGTTGGCGTCAGTTTGCTTGGGAAGGGGGTTTTATTGACGGATAGTATGTCACTCCTCCAAAGCCTGGATATCAACCGGCGATCAGTTACCCCTTTTCATAAAAGAGAGTGAGCGACGTGGATCGCAATGACATTCTCGGCAGCCTCTAGTACGCTTGGTACTGAAGAATCTCCCCCAAGAGTGGAGTCGTTACGAAACTCTGAAATAGCTAGTCTTACAGAAGTACATCTAGTCTGAGGAGATCGATACACTGTGGTGTTTGAGGTGTTCCTGGGGCGGCTGGGTCGTATGACTCGCGAGGTTGGACCCCAGTCTTCCCAGCAAAGCAATCTAATTACGGAATGAAGATGCAGGATTGTGGGTTTATATTCCTGTTGTACCTCCCTGTCCGTCGCCGCTGTGCTGTGCAGTTCACTTTTTCATTAATTTTCCGAGATGTTTCCCACTTGTAGGTAAGGGGGAGTGTTTCATTTTCATTTCGCAACACTTCAGTGTAAAACGAGACATCTATCGCATACCCCATACCGCATAGCACATCAGAGAAGGACCGCCAGGATGTATGTGCTGGGAGAAGTTGACGAAACGGTACGACTAGCATCGATTCCGACTCGAAAAGGCTCGATCGGTGAAGCCAACGAATGGGATTGGCACTGACTTTTGGCACAGTTTCTCCAGGAAGTATGGATCCTGTATGGCATCGGTACCTTGATCTTGGTGCTTCGCCATGTCATCCGCGCCCGCAGTGTTGGTTTCAAGGGCCTTCAGGGTGATGATTACTTCGCCATGCTTGTCCTGGCTCTCTACACTATTGACGCAGTCACCGTACATAATGTTTGTAGGTATATGTTCAATGCTTTAAACTCGCCTAACTTCCTTTGGCTGACTCCAGTGAAGATTTCATGGCAACAAATGTTGAGGGATCAGTGATCCAGACACAACGAGGTAAGACCCCCCCTTTCGTCCCAGTATGAGCAGCTAGAATTAGTATGAGTACTAACGCAGCGGGATCTGATAGTTCTTACCGAAGGAGAGATATCACAGCTTGTTGAAGGCTCGAAACAAGAACTTGTCGCATGGTACTCGTATGCCACTCTCGTGTGGTGTCTCAAAGGCACTATGGTTTGCTTCTTCATGCGCATGACAATGGGTCTCTCACAGCAGCGACTGGTAAACTACATTGGCATTGCTTGCATTGTTTCATATGTTGCTGTCTTTCTAACCGTATGAATTTCCCGCCATGGTGCAAGTCAAGTAACTCGAGCTGACGTGACGCAGATCACCTTCGGATGCTTCCCTGTCCACTTGAACTGGCAGTAAGTCAATATAATATGTTTACTGGATGTTCATTAATACTGATCTCATTTAATAGGGTGGTTCCGGATCCTGGACGTATGTTATCTCTTCCATTGCCAGCGTTGATTTTAACGACTGACAAGAATTAGGAAAATGTACTCTGAAGACACAGAACTTCTTTGTCATGACAGTTCTGAACGTGATGTAAGTGTTCTAGACTTGCGCCCAATACACACAGAGGAGGGAAAGGGCTAATGACTGTTTAGAACCGACGCTGCCATCTTATACGTGCCGTTACCCCTGCTATGGACCTTGCGTGTGCCCATTCGACAGTACGTCCAAACTCCCGCCGACTTCAACTCTAGCTAACAAGCCGTGAAGAAAATTCGTGATTGGCATCCTTCTGTCCTCCGGTATCTTCGTTATCGCCGCAGCCCTCATTCGAATCGTGTCCACCTTGTCTGCCAACCCTTCTGCCCTCACAGTCAATCGTTGGGGTGTCAGAGAGACTCTGGTTGGAATCATCGCCGTCAACGTCCCGATCCTTCGACCGCTCTTCAGCAAGAACTTCTGGCTCAACGGCGCCAGGACCGGAAGTGGAACTGGGCCATCTACCACTGGACTGAGCGTCGGAGCGCAGGGTCCTTACGAAATGGCACCTAGTGTCAACGGAGAAGAAAGCCTCTCCAAGCCGAACGGAAGCGAAGAGAATATTATCACGAAAGACGCCCGGGTCACTGTTAAGCCCAAGAAGAAGATGTCAGAGGGCAACAACGTGTTCGTTCACAAGACATATCAAGTGACGAATGAAGCGAACGACGGACCGAATTGGCAGACGGGGACGTTTTCTGAGTCTAAGGCTACAAGGCGTGACGACGACAATGTGTAATGTGTGATGGTGGTGATGTTGATATGATGTGAAGTATACGTTCGATAGTATATATTTTTTAGACCAAATGACCAGTAGTAGGAGCTGAAGTACATCAGCATTATTATTTATAGAATGAAAGGATACGTATAAACCACGATCTTTTCGCCGTCTAATCTAGTATGGGAGAGTGGTCGATTTGGTGTACATGGCGATCAGCTACGACTTGCTCTAGTCTTTTTGATACTCTCCAGTAACTTCTGCTATAAAGCTACGATCAACCGACTCTCAATCGTCCCTAATAATCTTTGAAGTTTGGTATCATTCGATGAATCATATAATAATCAGTATGTATTCTTTACCGCGTTGCTCAACAGTTGAGTCACATGAGGCTGGAAATCTCAAAATTTGCTCATCTGTATGGGTTGAACGTATGGGTAGAACGAAATTCCCTCAAAAGGGGCCTGCTTTCCCAGCTCCTGTTTGTAGCCTGCGCTCTAACGCAATCAAAAGACCAGGCTTGAGCCCGACGTGTGCCAAGGCATAGGCCTAGAGCAGAAGGAATACTTTTCCGGCCTGAATATAACTAATGTTTCCAGGTGCCTTAACCGATGGGCGCGCCCATTATTAGTATATTGTATACTCGTAATTGGTGGGATTCCATCTTACGTGTACACCATGTCGACTTTGAGTCAGACTTGCATGAAAACTGACAAAGTATGGGTGGCATTGAGCCCATTCGCCCAATAACAGCTGGCCACATTGATGGATTGCATTTCAGCTCCTGCGAGAACAAAAGCCACTCACTTCTTTGGACAAAAGCGCGAAAATGGCGAGAGCTGAACAGGCATGATTTGCGACACCGAAGCCTGATCTATTATTAATCTGCTCTAAAGTACATTACCTTGCATCTGGACAACGTAGTTGAAACATCGGCCATTTTGTTTAGTTAAGGTCAATTCTTACCTCATTTTACTGAGCCATTACGATTCCCCTCTCTGTTATTGAGAAATCCTGTCTCCGTAAAATGTCCGCAATGCCGGGCAGCATCAATATTGACCGCGATAATGGACCGATCGGTGAAGAAGGCGAAGGAAGCAGCGAAATACATGTATCCGACAATAGTCGTTCTCCCTCTATCCGACACCTTGGTGCAGCTGTTGCTACCCAACCGCAAAGCTCGGAGTCTACAGATATCTTGCCTAAGAGGAAAGATGTTCTTGAGAAGATTCGTGCTCTTCTGCAAAAATTTGAGCATGATATAATAAGAGAGAGTGATGGACGCCACCAAGAAACCCAAGTAAAGGAAAACAGTGGGCTTAGTCTCAAGGACAGCGTTGAGAAGCAAGTGATCTACACCGATGATGACAAGTTGAAGGATCTTCTCAAGGAGCTGGCAAGTTTGGGCACCGAAGAGTACGTGGATGATGTAACCGCTCTCGCATTTAAGGCTAGCCTAGATCTGCCCGAAGTGATCGAGACTCTCATCGAAGCTGGAGCACTCGTTGACAAGTTTGACGAGAATGGTTACACCCTACTACACAATGCCTGCCGCCATGGCCAAACGTCGACCGTGAAAAAAATAATAGAACGGATACCAACAAGCATCAATCAACGCGCGACAGATTGGGAATATACCCCCCTGCATTTGGCTGTCCAGTACCAGCAAAAAGGCGTTGGCGAAACCCTGTTAAATGCAGGCGCGGAAATCAATTCTCAAGACACGGATGGGTGGACTCCACTAATGACCGCAACAAATTTAAAATGTGCAGACATTATGGATATTCTACTCTGCCAGAAAGATATCGTAGTCGACATGCCGGACAATAACGGACTCACACCTTTGTTAGTGGCGACCAAGTCGAGATTTTTGGAAGGCGTCGAAAAGTTGCTTGGTGGTGGTGCAAACTGCAATGGTGGTCCAGATGGGGGTGAGAAATGCCTGCACTGGGCTATGTTGAGATTCTCACGCCCAATTTTCGATCTTTTCATGGAAGTGGAGAACCTGATTATTGATGTTCAGGATAGTGAGGGAAAGACAGCCTTGCACTACGCATGCGGGTCTCGTCACCAGGAGATGAACATTGGGGTTGCATCATACGAGGACGAAACGACAGGGACCGAGAAAAAATTCGACTTTACTGAAATCATTGGAAAGCTATTAGGAAGAGAGGCTGATCCATGGATGACAACCAGAAAAAATAAGACAGCCCTACACTTTGCTCTCAAACACAGGCGATCGGACTGCAACAAACTTCTCCCAATGTTTTCCATAAGGGCAGAACATCTGGCGCCTAGCGACTGGGACGAAGAACTCCTGATACATGTCTTATTTAAGAACAGAAGATACGCCAACAATGAGGACGTTCTCAACTATCTAATGAGTATACTGAGTAATGCCCCCAAAGAGTTGGACGAAACTCTTCAATGGGCAGTGGCGAGTCACAGCCGGCATGAATTTGCAAAATATCTCTTTTCCAAGAACGATAAAGAGGATATAGACAATGCTAAAAGTTCCTGGAGTGCACTCAGATGGGCTATTTATTACAGAAGACAAGAGCTGCTATGGTGGCTTCTTGCAACCTCTCCTCGGAACACTGTGATGGAAAATCAGATCAAGGCCGCCCAAATGATAGAACAAAATGAAGAGTGGACTACAATGAAAAAAGGAAAGCCTAAGGATGGCATTTCAAAGACTGAAAAAGAGGAGAAGGAAAAGTTGAATCAACAAGACGACAGGAAAATCTGGTGCGATATCCAAGACATACTTAATAATCCACCGCTCGCGCAGATATATAGACAAGATATGGGCACCAATACTCTGGAACCACCGGAACTAAACCTCAAATGTGGAGTAATACCAGATGGATTCGAATCACTTATAGTTCGATTCTACAAGGAGAGAACTAATTCCAATTTTATACGACTATCGCGAAGAGTAGACGAAACTATATACGGGACTGGTGTGACCCGTTTGATGAAGAATGAAGCCAAGAAGCTCCAGGAGATCCTCGATATTGGGAAAAGGGGGAAACAGCTAAAGAAACTGTCGCGAAAATATCAAACCATGTATGATGACGAGAAAGTCATATTTACTTGGGTTCACCTTCCGGCTACAAACGTGAGTATAGTCCTCTTGCTTCAGTAGACACGTGCTAAGTTAGATCAGATGGATTGGATGAAGGTAAAGTATCTAACCTTAGCTATTGCTTTGACTCTACTTCAATCTCAAGGAGAGTATTGACAACAGCGCTAGGACTTATTGAAGAGAATTATGATCGATGAAAAAAAGACAGCCGATGACTATCGTATGGTCAACTCATTCCTGCGAGATACGTGGTTCGAGATTCCTGATAGAGAATCTCCATCGCGTATAATGCGACCACAGTTCGTTCAAAGGAAAATCCCGACCCAGGAAAAGAACGTCGACGTCGAGGAGGAGGATTTCATATCTGTATCAGCCGTCTATGTAAGAATATTACCCTGAATCATTTTTCTTTTTTTTTTTTTTTTTTCTTTTTTTTTTCTCGAAATTAACTTATAATTTAGATGCCATTTCTATCATTCTCTACTAATTTTCAAAGACCAAAATGTCACACCATGTCATTCAGCGACGCGAGATGTGACGAAAACAATCGCCTATTGGAAAGGCTCAAACTAGCACAAGAACAGCACGACCGATTGATCGATGCTTATAAAGATGCCGTGTTTCATAAATCAGCGACTCTGGATGAGTCATACTATCACTTCGCATCAAACATGAAAGACCCCGTAGACGGCCAAGAATCTCATGACGATAAAGATTCTGGCGATGACCAAGAACGCCGAAATAAAGCGCAGATAGTCACAAAACTTTGGGAGTCTACTAATCAGATGCCTCTCGGTTCAGATGATCCCTGGCCAATACTTCGAGTTAATCAACTCTGGGTTTGGACAATCAATGACAGTGAGTACAATTGAACATAACCAATGAAAGGCTTATAGTTCTAACATGTGTAGAATGGTTGATTAGCGCTACCTCTCATCCAATTGATAATACAGAAAAAATATGGGTTGATGGTTTCATTGAGTATCTCAGCAAGCAAGCAGAGTCTAGGGAAGCCCAGTCACAACCAGCCTCAACTGAAGAGATGATGAAAGCTATGGTTGACTATTGCATTGGTTTCTATGAGAGGAGGCGACAACCTGCAGAATCAAGACACCATGACAAGCAAGAGAAAGGCCAGAACGACCATCAGAGGCATATGCTGTCAATTCGCCAACAGTTTTCGCAGTACATAAGCCATGTAGTAAGTTGAATATTCACATTTGATATAAGTAGTAGAATCCAGCTAACTGATTAATAGAGACTTAACGAAACAGACCTCTTTGACAATTTTAGAAAGTTGGTCAAAACTCAACAAAAATCTACTTCGGGAATTATAAAACTCAAAGACCAAAATTACGGAGCACAAATGTTATTCATGGAGGTTATAGAGACACGTGAGGAGCTAAACATTCTGAAATCAATTGCAAAGTATCAGGAAATAGTTCAAGAAAAGATGCTGGGAAAAAAACATTGTGCAGAGTTGGGCCTGACAGCAAGTTATGTGGTCAGCGACATTGAGGAGATGGAGAAGCTCGTGGAAAAGATACACTCTGCTGTATGTTGCCCCATTGCTTGATATACTGTTTACTCTGCTTACATATAAGGGAACTAGGTTCAAACGACCATTTCTCTTCAGCAATACGAAATAACGAGCCTCCAAGCAGATGAGGCCGCAGGCCAGGGGAAAACAATGATGGTGTTTACAGTATTTACTATGTTATTTGTGAGTTTCGCATTACTCCGATATAAGAAACAACAATTCTAAATCTATCCTAGTTGCCGATGTCGTTCCTCTCATCGCTCTTTGCGTTGGACTTTGAAGCGTTCCAAAGCACACCAGCCTGGGTCTTCATGGTGATATGTATGTACCATCTGGAAAGAAATGCGCCTAGGCTGACCAAACACTAATTCTACACTTTTAGTTATGACTTCTAGTCTATTATTTATCGTAGTTTTGGTCTATTACTCTCATAAACGTATTCGCCAGTTTTTTAGTGGATGGGGAGACGAGCGTGGCACAGGCAACGAGAGAAAGCCTACGAGTGGTGTCATGTCTTTTTCAACCACAAGTGAGAAGAGTGCTACAGAAAGTACGCCAACCAATGGGGTCATCCTTAGATACCGAAAAAAGACACAAGATATTGAATCAGGCCAAGGGTAAGATTATAGTAGTCACTTGTCTTAAATTTAGGATTGGGAGAAAATACAACATTTACGTTTTATATTAGCTCAGCAATGGTTAACTTAGAATATTATGTTATTAAAGAGCCAGAAAAAAAGAACACTCACAGAAAGTGCCAATCTTTGTGAAAATACTGCAAACAATCAACCAAATCATTTAGACCCAAGCTTGGGCATCTGTGGCTGTGATGATGTTTGTGGTGCTATGTAGTCTTTGGATACGTTTTCTATAATCTTGGACAGTTAGGCTCGCTAATGCAGGGTCGCGACGAACCAATTTTGGCATTGGTTCTGGTATATGCCTAGAGTTCTGTTGCCAGAAGTAGGCTTGAGGTGTGTTATTGTGTGTTGGTCATGTAGGGAGAGAAGGTTGTCTTGAAATATAGACAAACAGAGGAGTGAACCCAAGCTCTCTTTTCACTGAACCTTGACGATGCATAACCTTAGGGCTACTATTCGGCCGAAATTATGGTCGAGTACTAACTTTGAGCGGAGTAGGCCTCTAGCCTAATGATTAATAGCATTAATAACACGAGTTGACCTTATCTGTTCCCCTACCATACTTGGTAGAAACTCGTTCTCTATAAACTCTAGCATCTCATTTACTATATTCGAATTTAGAGATCGAGTCCTCTCCAACAAGAGGTTATGAATTAACAAAGAGTTATGAAGTCAATATGCCTTGATTCCAACCCGCCGAGACAAAAGGTGTGGGTTGATGAATTTCTGAGAGTAGTCGAAGCCTGCAAAACATAGGAGAAAGGAAGCATATCTTGTAGTCTATTACATTTTAGGCCGCATGAGAAGTACTTACAATATACAATATTTGACTTATCTGTCGCTCGTTAGTCAAGCTGGTCTTGTGTCGGAATTCGAGTAGAGCTAGAGTTCATGATCACTAGTCAAAAGTGGATCTAGACTATAGCAATATATTTACAGATAGACTACTATTCCTAGAACCTAGAACACAGCTACAAAGACTGATAGTACACGGAGTCATTATATTGGATTTGTCTAGGTAGTTGATGTACGCTTCATCTCAAACATATATTGTGCTATGGTGGGTTCAACGAAGATGTGCACTAGCCATGCTATTACGAACTACTACCACTGTTCTAATAAGCCATTAAACTTAAATATGTACTAATATATCATGTCACTATTCATGATGTTGATATGTCGGGTCTAGCCTCTTTGATTGCTGTTTTTGACTTTATTCTGACACTCTCTCACCCTTATCAGGTGGTACTTGATTCTCTGAGTGATTGAAGGACATCGAAGATTTGATTACCAAACAGGAGGGCCGTTCAGATTTGAACTATTGGTTCTTCAGCGAATAATATGCGAATATAAGTGATTCCAGCTGCTTGCTAGCTCTCATACGTGATTGTAATGGAGTTGGCTTGTTGGCCATACGTCCTTTGAACATAGTTACCCGCCTCGAGGTGTTTTCGACAAGGCGTTGTGACTTTAGTTAGACTAGAGACTGCTACCTCAATGTTTGCCTTTAGATAGTAAGAGGTATTTTTTGAGGATCTTTACTAAACCGGATTTCGCAGTGACAGATCATCTAAAATGATATTGTCACCGGTAAATGGCGCGATGCCCACGCTATGCTCATGAGGCATATCGTTGGTCCTTAAGGCGATCTTATATCCCTCCATTTCGGAACGAGGAGGCGCATATGTGTGTCCATGTAATCAGGACTAGGACTTTTACTGTAATATTGATTACTACCGTTTCCTGGTTCAGATTCCACTCTGCGCAGAGGGACAACAATATTATCCTCAGCCACTTGGGCTAATCTGGATCGGAAATTTGCTCGGAAAATTTATTGATCTGGTATGAATAATAGATAGAAATTACCTAGTAGATGAATGCGCAATGCAGGTGTTCATTATTGGCTTTGTCGTGCCACGATAGGAGGCTCCGACTACCCCAATGCAAAAGGGGCAAGTCACCCCCAATAAGTGATAGTTTAGACAATGCTATGAGGAAAGCTACCCCGAGCTGGCGCGTCTTTCCTTAACTTTGATGATCGAACACTTCCTAGCCTAAATTTCAAGAGGGAATAAAAATAGAATGAAGTACACGCATTTGCTTATCTTTATATCCAGGAAACACCTGTCGATGAGTCACGCGAGAGGCTAAGTTTATCGAAGCCCCGACCGGAATGCTTCCCGAGACTTGATAAACTCGTCTATTCCCACATCATCTTCCTTACCTCATCGCCACCATAATCCCCTCACCCTACCCCGCCCAACGACACCAAAATGCCCGGCTTTCTCGTACTTGACAACGACACTATCACGGATATCTTCCTTAGTTTATCTAAGGACGATATCCTCAAGTTCAAAAATGCGTTTGAGACAACGATCAGGGAATTTATTCTAGGGGCGGAGGGTTCCTTGCAGCCTCAGCCAAATACAGTCGTTCGTCCAGAAGGGGGAAAGACGCTCTTCAGGCCTTTTACTGGACCCAATAGTGTTGGTGTAAAAATCGTGACCACACCTCCTCCAAGGCCTGGCGAGAAGCTCCCTCTCGGAGGTATCATCACTCTCTCCGACGAAAACGGTGTGCCGTCGGCTATCTTCAACGCAGCCGAAATCACTGGCTTCCGAACCTCTCTCAGCGCCTTAATTCCCTGGTACTGGAGGAAGCACACAGAACATATAGTTGTTCTTGGTGCCGGGAAGCAAGCCCTTTGGCATACCCGTCTCGCGTTGGCTCTGAGGGGTGATGAGATCAAATCAATTACAATTTATAACCGCTCCCAGGATCGTGCGCAAGAATTATTACAAACGGTGCAAGCGGATAATGATAAATATTGGAAGTCTGCCGCAAAGTTGGCTGTATTCGATTCATCCGCAGCCGACTCCGATGAGAAGTTCCGATTGCTGCTCACAGAGGCAGATGCGATTTTCTGTACTCTTCCGACCACTACACCACTGTTCAAGATAGACACTATTTTCCACAAGGAGCGGAAGAGGCTCCCTTATATTTCAGCTATTGGGTCCTGGACCCCTGACATGACTGAGATCGGCCCCGATGTTTTGCGCAAAGCTGTCGAGACAGAGCCCAGTTTCAACCCGACTGGTGGAAAGGGTAGCGTTGTGCTCTCGGATGATGTTCATGAAGCTACGCTTAAGGCTGGGGAGTTGGTGAATAGCGATCTTACCAAGGATGAGTTGCTGAACGTAGGGCAAGTGATCGAATGGTTACGAGGTAATGGGGATCTGGAACAGTCGCAGAAAAAACGTCTTGATAAGTGGCTGGCCGAGGGTTTCGTCGTACTCAAGGGTATTGGTATCAGCACTACTGATTTGACATCTGCCGAGGAGATTCTTCGAGTAGCTAAGGAGAGAGGCCTTGGAACTCCTATTTCTTCCTTTTAGAGGGTAGACAAAAACTAATGGCATGTTTCTTCTGATAGGAGGGCCATCCTCATTCATTTCATTAGGCTTCTGCATGTTACCATAACCAGCCTGATATGGGAGGGTCCAGCTACCAACTGATGACTCTGTAGCATATCTAAGTACGATCAGGAATTTCGATTATCGACATCCGCGTGCTCTGTATATTCTAGCAACATGTAGCATTTAACGTCAATCTCAAATAAACGAAGAATCCAACTCCATGAAAATACTGTCCCAATCAAAAGAATTAGGGTCAATAGCAACGCCTTCTTCAAAATTGTGAGTGAAATCAGTCCAGTATGACGAAATGTCTTCTCTGGTTGAGTTAAAATGTTCTCCGGACCTTGCGACAATGTTTGGGCCGTTGTTGACATTGAAAGGATCCTCAGTAGTTTCCGGGAAACCGAGACTATCATAGATACCGTATCCAGGAGATATACTATTGTCAATGGATGTCTCTTCATAGGGAAATGTTTGGTGGTCTCGTTCACCCTTGCCATCACTGTACGCAGGAGGTTCTTGATGTTCGCTTGGGGCAGAATCGGAAGCTGACGTCTGGTTTTTTCGAAGAATATGTATCAGCGAATCAATAAACTTGGAAGTGGTTTCTGAGCCCTTTTTCGCAATTTCCATGATTTTGAAAGACCTGAAGATCTCCTCTCGCTGCTCATATTGTTGCGGAGATAGTGGGCTGACACACGCGTCCATGAGAAGAACAGCACAAGCCAAAAAGACTCCAACCAGGAGCTCGGTCAGTTTATTCTGTATCACATTGTCGATGTCGGCATTCTCCGACCATATATTTGATCTGATGAGAAGTCGCGCATGCTTGAGACAGATTTCTCGAGAAGAGTAATATGCTGAATCTTCGGAGCTGCGTATAAAATATGGCAGGTGAATCTTGCATCGTTGTGAGTAGAGCAAGAAGTAAACAACTTTGCCTTGAAATACGATATCCGCAGCTCGAGTCTGAGTCAAACCGTAGTTCTCCATCAACATAGGCGTTGTCATTGAATAGAACCCTGGAACCTCGTTGATAAGAGTTTGGAGTTCAGTATCGATGTCCATAACTGCATCATGACTAAGGCCTCCTGTATGTGCCATCATGAGTGGACTTCGATCGACAATGTTGCGAGATAATTCAGCTAAGCGTATCCTCTGCAATGTATATGACATAGAGGTTGGAAGCGAGAGGGGTCGTTCATGACGACTCATACCATCCAAGGCCTCTTCGTCATTGATGTTGAGTGGCTTTTTCGTGATCATCTGGCGAGGATGGCATGAATAAATACCCTCGCCGACTCCACCTACACGTGCTGCCATAGCCCTGCAAGATATGTTAGCAGTCTCGCTTAGGATGTTTAGATACATGAGAATTACCAATCAGATGCGCACAAATACCACCATACCCTACGTTCAATCTCTGCCTGGGATGTGTTCGCTTTTCCAGAGTTGTGCGGATGGTCAATGCGATGAAGCCCCAAGTCTCGAGCGAGTACCAATGCGTTGGCGAACAGAACCCGGTATCTATGTAACCCGTCGATATGGGCAGCCATAAAACCTACAAGTATCATTCCTTGGACGCCTTCAATCGAGATTTTCCGTCTCCGAGAGGTGGCTTCGAGAACATCTTCAGCCGCGTTGATCCAAAGCGAGACTTGTTCGTTAGCTTCTGACGGAGAAGAAAATACACGATTGACGTCATCGCTTGGGGCCCAGGATTGAGTTGCTGCCGCGATAATACTTAGGACTAGAATAAGATGTCCTGGTTGTACCTCTTGCTGTAGGCTCAATTTCGCATAGACTCGTTCAAAGATAGAGGGAAGATGGGGAACATGAGTTACATGTGGAAAGTAATGAGCAACCCGAACGAACTTTTCCAGAAGGATTTTGGCCTCGTCGAGTTGGGGTAACCATATGCATCTTGAAAGCCCAGAGCTAAGAGTTGAGTTCGGTTCAGGTTGGTACACGTATGGTTGTGCTTTGGTTATTTGCTGAACAGGGCAAATTTTGATAATTATGTGATTTCTTAGTACCGCGGGCTAAATAGCAGTCAGTGAAAATCCATACATTGCGACATCCCTTAGGAGAAAGTGAGGGAATTCAAAACACGACCCAGGAGCTGCCTAATATGAGGGACAGGCTTACCGTATGAATCTTCCCTATGTAAGTGCTATCAAGGTGGGCAGCATCACTACCCATATCTATGTCCTGGAATTGCGAGGACGAAGTTGATTGATACTGAGATTCTGAACTTTCAGGACACTGGGCGTTTCGTCCTTGTACTTCTTCTTTCTGAGCGAGCAGCAAACTCTCGAGCCTATGAAGGCGCTCGATAATCTCCGAATTTCCAGAAGCTTCAGGAACTACAACCGGTTGCGGGTGCGGTGGTTCCAAATCACAAGTGATACCCCTTGAAAGGCAGTTGGAGCAAGGCGCTGTTCTGCTACATCGCAGCTTTCTTGTCCTACAAAGAGTGCAGGACACTGGCTTTTGGCGAAATTTTGGCGGCTGAGATTGTTCTTTGGGCATTTTCTATTTTTGAAAATTTTGTTGAAAGTCTTAGAAAATATGAGACTCTCGAATGTTCAACAATCGTGCCGGTTGATGGAGAACGACAAAACCATCGGAGTTTCCGTCAAATTCCGCGGAATTTAATCTGGTGATGATGACATAAGCCACCACGACATCCCAACATGCCAGGGATTACTCAATATTCACTGCTTCAGCCAGGATGTCTAATGATCAATTGGACAATGTTGGGCCTGTCTATATAACGAAGTTGATACAAGATATGAATGAAACAAAGAGCGACCAGAAGCTTGCCCTCTGCCGTGATAGACCGAATTTAAGCTAGAATTCTAAAACCTTTAAACATCCTCCCCATCTATTCTTACTTTAAATAGACTCCTAACAGAGCTTGCATTGAGCAGATGACATTCATGAACCCACTTCAGCCAGTTAGTAGCTAGTTTTAGGTGAGGTTATCGAACACAAGGTGAGAAAACATGAGCTCGCCTAAGTTAGAAGACTTAACTGGTAGCCTAACTGCGCTAAAGGCGGCGTTGAGAGATGCCGCTGGTTCGGATGCTCTCCCCAAACTTCCAGAAGACTAGAGGGATTGGAGCAAAAGCCACCGCAATGAAAACGAGGAGCGATGTGCCCCATCCCACCCCAAGATCGTCGTACATACTGTTCCCAGCCAAAGGCAGCAGTGCCCCCAGGAGAGAGCGGGAAACAATAGCTGCTGCGGTCGCTGAAGCGGCATAGGGGGTGTAAGCATCCACAAGATATGCCAATGACGGCATCTAATAAAGTAGTCAGTAAGGTGAGCTCTGTTTTCAGTAAGTAAATGGCTTACGATGATGGTGAATGACGCAGCTCCTAAAAATGCAGATCCGACGATTGGCACAATCCAATGTATATTCTTGGTGGCAGTCCAACCGTATAGGAACAAACCAATAGGTGCAAGCGCCGCACCTACAAACAAAAGCGGTAGTCTGTACTCCGGCTTTGGTTCTCCGCCATTTCTTTTTGTCAGCTGTTTGACAAGCCTGTCAGAAAGCGCCGCGCTTAGAACCAAAGCGAAGAGGAATCCCACTCCAATCCCCAGGTATACCAGCCCAATACCGCTCTTAGAAAACCCGTAAGTCCCTTCGAAAACTCGTGGGAAAGTCGTGAACATGAGATATTGATACCCGTACATTGTTGCCATGTAAAGAGAGAGTAAGGCAACAATTGGTAGCAAAATGAGCATCTTAACAGGCCGAACGATAGATACTTGGAGAAGTTTCTTTGGATCTTTGCCACTGTCAAGAGATGAGCGAAGCGATCGGTTACCGGTCTCTTTTTGCAAGCGCTGTGTCTTCTTCTTTAAGATCGTGTAGGGATACGACTCTTGGAGGAGTAACAGACTTCCAAGGAAAACGAGACCGGCCTAAATAATGCTACGTTAGTTTAGAGACTCGGGATGACCCTGAGAAACTTACAAGTATTGACACCAGCCAGAAATTCCATCGCCATCCTTTAGCCTGGCCAAGATATCCAGCGACTAATCAATGTTAGCAAGTGGCATTGCAAAAAGAAACCTCGCGTGGTCTTACTTAGCGGACCGAACGCAGGCCCAAGTACTGGCCCCATGATCCATCCCATCATAGCAAGCCCTCTTTTATCTAACGGGACCATATCGGCAATGGATCCTGCCCCAATTGTCATTGGAGCACTCCCAGCAAGCCCAGCGAAAAACCTAAATATAATAAGGGAGACAATGTTATTGGAGAGTGCGCAAGCAATAGTCCATATGAGGAACCCGAAGTTGCAGGTGTGGTAGATAATCGTGCGGCCGTATATCTCGGATAGGGGAGCGAGTAATAGAGGCCCAAAGACGTAACCGAGGAGGTAAACAGAGGTGATAAAGGATTCTATTGTCGTGTTCGTGATGCCAAATGTTGACATGATGTCCGAGCTCATTGGTGATGTGATGGTGGATCCAAGAGGCCTATCCAATGTTAGCCACTACCCCTTTGATGAGTTGAAAATACGTACGAGAGAAAGGCAAGAACTGAAACTACGCCGATGTTGGTGATTTTCTTTGTTGAAGACCAATTCATCGGGTTCTGAGGGTCTCCAGGTCCATCCCAGTCGATAGTGTTGAGTGTATCTCCTCTATGTGACTCTGGGGCCGCATGTAGAAGTTCGTTTTTATGGCCGGCTTGCGCCTCGGCGTCTTCTTCTTGAAATATGCCTCGCGTCATTGGAACTTCATTGTTCATGAATGCGAATTCTGCTTCGCTTTCAGACTCTTTGGCAGTGCTCATCTTTGGAACTGGAAGTGTTTCGCTGGACATTGTATGAAAACAAGGACGATCTTTTCAATGATAATTGTAACAGAATTCTGTAATTTATTCAAACTGATTCTGATAACTAAGTAGGCCAACAGTAAAACTTGGAGGGAATTGATTGAGAGGTCTATTTAAATTCTTCCGAGAATAATATCTCGGAAACTCCGATGGATCCCGCGGGGGCGCATAGCAGGCATCACCAGATCGAATAACTATTTTAACATATGTTGTAATACTATTTATTATCACTAAGGCTTAGTTGTATATAATATAAAGAAACCGCTCTTATTTAAGTATATTTAGCTATAACTACCTGCTTCTTCTTCTTCTTCTTCTTCAACTGGCCCTTAGCTTTATAATAACTTTAACTTCCTACTTCAAATATTAAAATTATATCCAAATCGTCGGAGGCGGAAAGCCATAAGTGCCGGCAGCTCTACAAAGTTAGACGTAGCTTCAGGCCTATCAGCAACGGCATCTTCTTCGGTGAAGTTGGGCTCCTCCAGGGCATCCATGACGAGCCCTGCCTTGAAGAATGGCGCCAGGAGCTCGTGAATGGGTCGATGAAAGAGCAGCTGAGCGAGTGAGACTATTAGTGGGGACTCTCTTTGGTTTTTGGTGAGAGTTCTCGTAGCAATATACCGGAGGAACTTCCTGCTCTGATGTAATGAGCTGCTTGGACGGCTCTGCACTGAGGTATCTGAAAATGGTCTTGCCCCGAACCATGTCCTTCTTTCCCGTCTCAGGTGAGATGGTGTACTGGATGCTGCGCGCGTACAAAGATGTCATGAACACTGGGTGAAGCAGCGTAGCGACGAAGCTTTGTTCCAAACGCAGTGAGCGAACAAAGAGCGCACTGAATTTGGATTGTCACGAAATTGTTAACAAAACTTACACGCCATCCTCGTTCAAGATCGTGGGTAAAGCGGTTGCGAGGGGCTCCAGCTCGGACACGTCCATCAGCGCCATGTTCATAAGTACTATATCGAAACCCTGTTTGATTAACAGATAAATTAGTTTGCGCTGAGTACGACTTGTTAGTTGCACTTTGGTATATCTTACACCCGCTGCTTTCTCGCGAAGCTGAGCGAAGTCATCAGAGACGGTGACGTCCACCTTTTCGAACGAGATGCGGCCGTTGGCCGTGCCGTACGACCTAGCCTGCTCGACCATGGCCTGGCTGCCGTCGGTCGCCCAGACCTCCCCCACGACTGTTTCTCCGTGACTCGCCAGCCATCGCGCGCAGAGACCGTTGCCACAGGCGAGATCCAAGGCGCGCCGTGGTGTGCTCGGGGCTCCTAGTTGTGGTGTGAGAAGCCGCGTGAGAGACGGCTGCTGGAGCCTCTTCCAGTACTTGTTACCCTCTAGGCCGACCCCTTGGTTCCAGAACTCTGCGTTGACGTCCCAGAGGCCCACGGCCTCGCAGCTTTTCTCGGTGGAGGCGCCGGGCATGTTGAGTGGTAGGTGAATAGAAACTCAGTAAAAGGAGAATGAACCCTTTTGGGACCTGCCACTGTTACGTGGAAGACCCTGCCGTTCACTTATACGGTATCTGACGCCGCTTATTTGAGAGTCCCTCTGCGTGAAGAATTACTTGCCTGGTTTCCCACCACAACTGTAGACGGCCACGTATTTTTCACGGCACTCGGGTGTTCGAAAAGCTAATCGATAAAAGTCTAGCGTGTTGCGGGGTGAGTCACTCGCCGATGGTCAATGTAATCGTTGGATTGGGATACCTGAGCGAGCTCGAAAATATTTGAAAAGGATTATAATTAAAAGGTGTTTGTATTTAATAAACCAACTATCTCTGATAAAGTATATATATTTATATATACTAATATTAGTAATTGTTTTAATAATTATAAGGCGAATTAAAATTAGTTTTATTAGCAAGCCAAGTATCCTTGTTTGATAAGAAGGTGGGATGCTCTTCGTCGCTAAGGGGAAAGTAACGTATTGAATGTGGCAGGGCGGCTATGGGATCATCCCGCGGAGCTTCTTCATTGATCCTCATGCTACTGATGCCCTGGGAACATCCCACGACAGAGCATTAGGGCTCTTGAGTTATCAGTCGACCAAATTATCTCGTGAATACACTAGAAGAATCGCCGAAGTACAATCGTAGGTCCCACCTCGTCGTATTCCTCATACAGGACACACATCTTCTGAAATGTCGATAAGGATGCAACCATGGATTCTCCTATCCACGACGAGTATTTTCTCTCCGGTGATGCAACAATGTTAACCTTGGCTGATGAAGGGGCGAGACCAGACATTTCCGGGTGCATTCGGTCTTCAATACCTGGAAACAACGTTGATCCCCCAGCCTTCAAATAGACGACATGTAAGCAGTTTTCTTCCCAACAGTCAGTAAATAGGACCAAGACTCACCAAAACGATATTCCCATACAGCCTGTCTTGAAGTGAGGTATCAGATTTCAATATGGTGCCGAAAGTTAGATGATGTATCCCCATCTCACTATTCATCCCCATAAGATGAGGATGGAAGAGAGCTTCGGGGGTCATGAACCTCTCTCTCCCTACAGTAATGGACTTTCCGTCTGCCAACTTGTAGCTTGTTTCTGTAGGGGTCCCCCCCTGTATCAACTGCAATTCTTTTCTGAAATCTCGCGCAACGTAGCAGTAATCCTCCTTGACTTTTCGGGCAAGCTTGCGCTCCGATATTGTCCCCAGCTTATTGCCGCCCCGTGCAAGACCTTCGAAGAAATGGTCCGTCAAATGCCGCCCACCAATATCCAGTCGTTGGATGCCGCGGCGGAGAGCAAACCCTTCATAGACGGGAACCGCAGAAGTCGAGGCCGTGCCGGAATCAAGCACCACCCCTGTACTGCTACCGGATGGGTGCATAGCTAGTACACCTTGCATAGGAAGGTAGAGAGCAGGGACGTAATACTGCTCAAATAGCAATGTCACTGTTTTCTCCCTGTTCTCTTTTGAATTTGCATTTGGCTCAGCGAGGAGAAGAGGGTGGTCTTCTGGCTTGGCTTTGAGCCTTGTTTCGTAGAGATAATCCCAAATCCACTCTATATCACTGAAGTTGGTGATGATTCCGTCATCAACTGGGCATCTTTGGTCAAATAAAGGGCGAAGCTCCTCCGCCTTTTCCCCATAATACCGATCTACCAGGTTAAGTCCAGGAAGTAGACAAATGCTTTTTATCAAAACAGCAGTCAGTATGAAGTGCCCCTATAACTAGTCCTTGAAGCTGAAAGCGGACGTGATATCCTCCTTCTGGAATGGAAAGGTAGATAGGAAATTACCGAGATGGGCGCCGATGGGATATAAGCGTTGCTATGAGATAATAAGCCTGCTGAATCTCTATTTGCAGCCTTGGGAAAAGAGATGACGAGTCGTCATTGCCATACTGTGAGTGTTTGGGGGTTACTTACGGAAAACAGCCGATGGCCTCCTTTCGCTCGCGAATCCCCCTTTAATGGTATCCGTGCTACCGATTTCACAATTCACAATCAGCGGGGAAAACGTCACCTTGAAACAAATTCTCGGTCGCAATGAGACTCGACATACCCAGTATCGATCACAATAGCCCCGGTATTGCCTGAGCACTCAAAATCACGTCCATTAGCTCAGTTCTCTGAACTTAAATCCGGAGTGACTACCTTCCATTATTGATCTCAGGATTCACCCAAGCGGTGAATTCTAAATAATCATAAAAGACCACGGCATACATCCAGAGGATGGGGGTTGGGCCAGCTTGCCCATGACATCGACACGAATCCAGGACTAGGCATCCATTTATTTCTTGCAAGGCTGCCGTCAGTGAGGCTGAATGCGGGGAGTCGTATTTCGTCTTTGGAGCGTGTTGTCGAGGATGAGTCATGTGGCTGCTTCGTGCTAGCTCTATTCAAGATACCTAATTTCTACCAGCATCTGGACTAAACAATGAAAGGAAATGTTATAAAGGTAGACCGATAATAATGATAATGCAAAGAAAAAACAAGAAGAAAATTTTAAAGAGAGTGCTTTGCAGTCTAGTGAGTTATACCCAAACTCTTCTTAGCCTTGTGTTGTGAAGCTTGCCGAAGTAGAGGGCAAGCTATCTAATGAAACCCCAACTTGTTTGGGGTATTAATCTATATGTTATTACATTTATGAGCCAGTCCATCCGGCCTCGTCTAAATCTATTAATTTTATATCAGAGACCCTAAGAAATAAGGTCCCAGTAAGCAGAAAAGCGGAGAGTATTCGATGAGAGAAAATCGTCGTTCCTTCGTAAAAATTCACTATCCGGCAAGAGTCTCTATACCTCCTCAGGCTTGACTGGCTTCTTCGTCTTCTCGAGTTTCCGCAAGTCGATCCAGCCCATGCCAAAGGAAACGGCGAAAGCTGCAACGGAAAAGCCCACCCAGAGATAGAAGACGTTTCCGAAACTCTCAGAGTAAGACCGCAGGATGCCGTCCATGGTTGCGCTGCCAGCGGGGGCCAGCTTCTGGACGGCCTCGGCGCTACCTCCAGCGGCAATGACAGCTTTCACGCCAACAGAAGGGGCTGCGATGGGGATCTTGGACTTGAGGCTTTCTTGGAAGATGGTGTTGGCGATGGTGATGGCAATGGCACTGCACATATTCTGGCAGAAGACGAGGAAGGAACTGCCCACGGCGACTTGGGCGGGAGGCAGAGCGTTCTGGAGTGCCACGGTACCCTGTGATCAATGTTAGCGAGGGAAGCATGGGGATGGGTTCAGTCGGCGGAATGGTGCTTACAATCTGAATGCCTGCGCCCCGGAATCCGTAAAGAACTTGAAAGCCGATCAAGTGAGCAAGGGTGGTGCCAGGTGCCCAGGTCGAAATGAGGCCACATCCAATGGCTGTGCCACCGGCTGCAAACAGGGCCCAGGGAATGTAATATCCGAGTCTTGTCACTGTTTAAAAAGTTAGTAAATTAGAAAGAGAATCGCCTAAAGGGGCGGAAGAGCTGGAAGTTCATACTCAAAGCTCCCGAGAAGAGAAGGAAAATTAGCTGGGAAATGATTCCTGCCAACATATAAACGGCGCTCATCGTTGGCGACAGTCCTTTCACAGACTGGAAATAGATTGGCAGGAAGTTGCTGGCTCCCACCGTAACACTCATCAGGAAGGCGAAGTTCAGCGAGCTTGTCCAGACTACTGTCTGGGACACGAGTTTCAGCGGAATCATGGCCCCCTCGCCTACCCTCCATTCCCAAGCGATGAACAACAGAGCCGTGGTGCCTGCTCCACAGAAAAGTCCAATAACTGTGGGTGAGTTCCATCCATACTCTCCGGAACCGAACTGGAGGGCAAGAAGGAGCATGATGGATGCTGGAGTAAAGATCGCAAACCCGGTCAAGTCAAATTTAGGTAGGATCCTGCGGATAAGACCAAAGCTCACGCGCTCTTTTTCTATCTGGTCGGGGATGGCGATGACGGCGATGAAGAGCCCGACAACACCTCCCAGGGGAAGGTTGACATAGAAACCTGCCTCGGAGTTAGAAAGTATTCTCCCAAACTTCAGTTATCATACCAGTTGTGGGGGACGAGTTTACTCACACCAACGCCAGCTAGCATGCTCAGTGAACAGACCACCAATGACCGGTCCGAGAACGATACCAATTTGGCCAACTACAGGTAGTTAGCCTCCGTTTCTTTACTTTCTGGAGTCAAGACAATTGTAACTTACTTCCCATGGCAACGGCCGTGTAGACTTGAAGGCGACACATCACATGTTAGTTAATAGTCTTTGCACAAAACGCGTTTGGCACACATACGAGGACGCTTTCGCGGAGCTATGGCCCCAACGATGACTGTCAGAAGACCATTGGTGAGGCCAGAGCATCCCAAACCAGCAATTGCACGGCCAATAATCAACATGGTCGAGGAGGTTGCGGCTCCACAGATGGCAGAGCCAATCTCAAACAGGAGGAAAAAGGCAAGCAATGTCCACTAGAAGCGAACTGTTAGCTCCCGATGTAAAAAATGGCGAGCCATGGGCATTTAGAGGCAGGATATACTTGCCTTGGTGCTGAAGTAGGTATAGAACTTCCCGGTGAGAGGCTGCACAGTAGCGCTGGCAAGTTGATATGCACTGACATACCAGCCTACATCCTGAAGTCGCTTAAAGTCGCTGGTGATTTGAGGGATTGCCTAGAGCACACAGTCAGTAAATGCAAATTTTGTGTTGCGCCGACGGAGCAGGCTGTGAACTTACGGTGCCGAGAATCGAAATGTCCAGCATGACCAAGAACATCAGGACGGTCAAGCCCGACATGACGATGAAGAGCTTGATCCCCTCAAGATAGTTGGTCTCATGTTCGGTGGTCTCTGCCTCTTCCTCTTTGGGTGCCTTCTCCTCCGATATCGACTCTTGGGCTGTGCTACCATTCATGTCATCCAGGTCTGAGACCTGGAGCTTGTTGTCGGCGGCCAACAAGAACGTTGCTTTGCTTGGCGCCATTGTTGACGTTGTGGCTCGCTCCCTCTCGATTAGTTGTGTGTGTCGACGCTGCTGTGTTGAGGAAAGAAATGTGCTGGGAGCAGATCCAGTATTTGAGATCTAGGATCTGAAATGCTTATAGAGTTAGGTAGTTTTTTTTTCCCAATATAGAAGGGGGGAATGCTCAATTTGACTCAATATGAGAATCCCAAAGCGGACTTGTTCAGTGATGCGCTCCAGCGGACTTCCAGCGGAGAGTGGCCGCCGGACGTACGAATCCCGGAGCCAAACCCGGCCAGTAAGCCCCGTATCTCGAATTCCAGGCAGCGGCAGAGACCCGGAGGTCCCTAAACAGCATAGCCCGGCAATAGTTGTAGCGCTACGCTTTTAGTGATTGGTCATGCTTGAGTCGAGACAGTCAAATTTCGACAATCCCGATCGCCAATCCCGCCGTCGGCACGTTGACTCCGGACTCGTCAGCGCAATGAAACCCAACATGGAACAACATGGAATTAATTAATTAATAACGGGTAGCAACCGTATGACAACAACACGCAACCATGATTGACATAAGTACAAATGCAGGCGCACGCATTGGGCCTTTACTTGCTGCCTGCGAAGGAAGACCGGCGGCATTCCGTTCTCCAATGTCGCGGCGTCCCTTAAGATTTCTCACTCAGCAACCATCTCCTTGAAACCAAATATCTTATTTCCGTACAGCGGAATTCAATCAAGACTCCACAATGGGTGGATTGTGACATGGATCGCGAATGTTCAGATAACCTTTACCCTACACCTTAAGGGGCTTCTCTGGCTTATGGTCCCATCACTTTAGGCTTCCAAATAAAATCTAGAAATTTAATGCTTTGAATCTCATTACTCATGGCATTCCCAAGTGGCCAGTCAGGTGATTGTCTGCTTGTAGATTTATTTCTGTAATGCCGAGTGTAAGCCTCTCTCCTACAACCACTACAAACTGCAGTTACTCGTAGGTAGGCGCATGGTTAAATCAGAACAAGAGAGTGTGGTATATGCGGTTGATTAAAGTCGGCACATCCCTCTATGCGGCAAAAGGCATCTTTTTAATTTCCTAAATAATTACATAGGAGAAGCGACCAGGATTTTCATTGTATCAGGCGCGTAAGCACTCTAATACAGGTAGTCTTCTATCAGTTGCGTACATGGTGCCCTTCTTATCCTTGGGCAGCCTCTCTTTTCTCCTTGCCAGAATTCTTTTATATCCTCTTATATCCGGGTGGCCCGTCTAAAGACGTGATAGCTAGGCAAAACAAAAGAGAAATGCCCAGCGAGAGACATGCATTCTTGCTACCCGTACTGAACTATTTAGAACACCCCGTTCAATGCGGATGGGACAGGCTTCGCTGAAAAGGCTACCTTTCGTAGATTTCTTATTGTTGACAATTCTCACTGTTAGTTAT